AAAAACACGGTAAGATACAGTAATACAATACAGGGTGTTCAATTAGCAAAACTGAAATATCGATATTTGAAAATCGTCAATGTTAAAAATAATACTAGATGCGATTTTTGTGAAGTTCCAAAAAATTGAAAGAAAATCGGAATAACGTGGCATTTTCCAAAATTTCCAATTCTGTAGTTTTCTGGAATTTTGGAAAGAAACTGACATTTCTAATTTTCAATTTTTGAAAGTTTCGAATTTTTGGCGACGCTATTGTAAATAGAAACTAAAATTTTCCAATTTCCGCTACTAAAATGGAAAAAATCGGCTTTTTTGTCTTGAAATTTTTGAAAATTTGAAATTCTTGCCACCCTGACCATGCGCACTGTCAAAATTTACATTAACTTTAAAATTCATTTTTTTCAGGAACTCGAAAAACAATTCAAAATTTTCCGATTTTCATCTTTAAATGTTAAAAATAAACAAAAACTTTCCAAATTTCAAACTCTTTGACATTTAATAATACGCGACTATCGCATTTTTAAAAGAAACTGAAGTTTTCCGATTTCCAAGTAGGCATTAAAATGTTCCGATTTTCATATGATACTAAAATTTTCCGCAGTATCCGACTAAAATGAAAAACAAAACACGATATTTTTTACTTGGCGATTTTTCAAAATTTCAAATTCTGTATTTTTCTGGAATTTTAGAAAGAAACTAAAATTTTCTCGGGAATTTTAAAATCAAACTAAAATTTTCAGATTCACATCGACAGATGGAAAGAGTAGAACAAAAAACAGAGTAAGATACAGTAATACAATACAGGGTGTTCAATTAGCAAAACTGAAATATCGATATTTGAAAATCGTCGATGTTAAAAATAACACTAGAAGCGATTTTTGTGAAGTTCCAAAAAATTGAAAGAAAATCGGAATAACGTGGCATTTTTCAAAATTTCCAATTCTGTAGTTTTCTGGAATTATCGAAAAAAACTGACAATTTCCAATTTTCAATTTTTGAAAGTTTCGAATTTTTGGCGACGCTATTGTAAAAAGAAACTAAAAATTTTCCAATTTCCGCTACTAAAATGGAAGAAACCGGCTTTTTTATGTCTTGAATTTTTGAAAATTTGAAATTCTTGCAACCCTGACCATGCGCAGTGTCAAAATTTACATTAACTTTAAAATTCATTTTTTCAGGAGTTCTAAAAACAATTTAAAATTTTCCGATTTTCATCTTTCCCTGAAATCTTAAAAATAAACAAATACTTTGCAAATTTCAAACTCTTCGACATTTAATGATATGCGACTATCGCGATTTTTCAAAATTTCCAACTCTGCAGTTTTCTGGAATTTTTAAAAGAAACTGAAGTTTTCGGATTTCCAAGTAGGCATTAAAATTTTCCGATTTTCATATGATACTAAAATTTTTCGTAGTATAGAACTAAAATGAAAAACAAAACACGATATTTTCACTTGACGATTTTTCAAAATTTCAAATTCTGTATTTTTCTGGAATTTTAGAAAGAAACTAAAATTTTCTCCGGAATTTTAAAATCAAACTAAAATTTTCAGATTCACATCGATACATGGAAAGAAGTAGAACAAAAAACAGAGTAAGATACAGTAATACAATACAGGGTGTTCATTTAGCAAAGCTGAAATATCGATATTTGAAAATCATCAATGTTAAAAATAACACTAGATGCGATTTTTGTGAGTTCCAAAAAATTGAAAGAAAATCGGAATAACGTGGCATTTTTCAAAATTTCCAATTCTGTAGTTTTCTGGAATTTTCGAAAGAAACTGACAATTTCCAATTTTCAATTTTTGAAAGTTTCGAATTTTTGGCGACGCTATTGTAAAAAGAAACTAAATTTTTCCAATTTCCGCTATTAAAATGGAAAAAATCGGCTTTTTTTGTCTTGAAATTTTTGAAAATTTGAAATTCTTGCAACCCTGACCAAGCGCAGTGTCAAAATTTACATTAACTTTAAAATTCATTTTTTTCAGGAATTCTAAAAACAATTCAAAGTTTTCCGATTTTCATCTTTAAATCTTAAAAATAAACAAATTTGACATTTGATGATACGCGACAATTGCGATTTTTCAAAATTTCCAACTCTGCAGTTTTCTGGAAATTTTAAAAGAAACTCAAGTTTTCCGATTTCCAAGTAGGCATCAAAATTTTACGATTTTCATATGATACTAAAATTTTCCGCAGTATCCGACTAAAATGAAAAACAAAACACGATATTTTTTACTTGGCGATTTTTCAAAATTTCAAATTCTGCATTGTTCTGGAATTTTAGACAGAAACTAAAATTTTCTCCGGAATTTTAAAACCAAACTAAAATTTTCAGATCACATCGACACATGGAAAGAAGTAGAACAAAAAACAGAGTAAGATACAGGGTGTTCAATTAACAAAACTGAAATATCGATATTTGAAAATCGTCAATGTTAAAAATAACACTAGATGCGATTTTTGTGAAGTTCCAATAAATTGAAAGAAAATCGGAATAACGTGGCATTTTTCAAAATTTCCAATTCTGTAGTTTTCTGGAATTTTCGAAAGAAACTCACAATTTCCAATTTTTAATTTTTGAAAGTTTCGAATTTTTGGCGACGCTATTGTAAAAAGAAACTAAAATTTTCCAATTTCCGCTATTAAAATGGAAAAAACCGGCTTTTTTATGTCTTGAAATTTTTGAAAATTTGAAATTCTTGCAACCCTGACCATGCGCAGTGTCAAAATTTACATTAACTTCAAAAATCATGTTTTTCAGGAATTCTAAAAACAATTCAAAATTTTCCGATTTTCATCTTTAAATCTTCGCGACTAACGCGATTTTTCAAAATTTCCAACTCTGGGGTTTTCTGGAATTTTTAAAAGAATCTGAAGTTTTCCGATTTCCAAATACGCATTAAAATTTTCCGATTTTCATATGATACTAAAATTTTCCGCAGTATCCGACGAAAATGAAAAATGAAACATGATATTTTTTACTTGGCGATTTTTCAAAATTTCAAATTCTGTATTTTTCTGGAATTTTAAAGCGAAACTAAAATTTTCTCCGGAATTTTAAAATCAAACTAAAATTTTCAGATTCACATCGACACATGGAAAGAAGTAGAACAAAAAACAGAGTAAGATACAGTAATACAATACAGGGTGTTCAATTAGCAAAACTGAAATATCGATATCTGAAAATCGTCGATGTTAAAAATAACACTAGATGCGATTTTTGTGAAGTTCCAAAAAATTGAAAGAAAGTCGGAATAACGTGGCATTTTTCAAAATTTCCAATTCTGTAGTTTTCTAGAATTTTCGAAAGAAACTGACAATTTCCAATTTTTCATTTTTGAAAGTTTCGAATTTTCGGCGACGCTATTGTAAAAAGAAACTAAAATTTTCCAATTTCCGCTATTAAAATGGAAAAAACCGGCTTTTTTGTCTTGAAATTTTTGAAAATCTGAAATTCTTGCAACCCTGACAATGCGCAGTGTCAAAATTTACATTAACTTCAAAATTCATTTTTTCAGGAATTCTAAAAACAATTTAATTTTCCGATTTTCATCCTTCCCTGAGATCTTAAAAATAAACAAAAACTGCAGTTTTCTGGAATTTTTAAAAGAAATTGAAGTTTTCCAATTCACAAGAAGGCATTAAAATTTTCCGATTTTCATATTCCCCAAAAGTCTTAAATATGATACTAAAATTTTCCGCAATATCCGACTAAAATGAAAAACAAAACACGATATTTTTTACTTGGCGATTTTTCAAATTTTCAAATTCTGTATTTTTCTGTAATTTTAGAAAGAAACTACAATTTTCTCCGGAATTTTAGAATCAAACTAAAATTTTCAGATTCACATCGACACATGGACAGAGTAGAACAAAAAACAGAGTAAGATACAGTAATACAATACAGGGTGTTCAATTAGCAAAACTGAAATATCGATATTTGAAAACCGTTAATAACACTAGATGCGATTTTTTGTGAAATTCCAAAAAATTGAAACAAATCGGAATAACACGGCATCGAAGTTTCAAAAATGTAGAAACCAAAAGTGTTCCCTTTAAAAAAACTTAGTTGTATGTTGCGCCCCAAAAACAGTGTCCAGTGTAGTTGAAAATAATGTTAGTGTATGCTATTCAAAGAACCGTAAAACTAGTCCTTGACTTCTTTTTATATCTCCAGTAATACATTGGTCAAAAATGCACCAATTCGAATTTTTCCAAATCATGAACGCTTATTACTATGGCCTGTATATCAATCATCTCGATAATGTAACGTGGCAGAAAAAACTGTTTGCACTTGATGGTTTCCCACTCTGTATATATACACACATACTGTTATTTAAAAATATGAACATTTTATTAACAATTGTGTAACTCAGTTCAGGTTAGTATAATTGTAAAAATGTGTCCGAGTCGAGCATTAGATCGTGAATTTTTTGCAAATCTTGTTATGGCAATGATGTAAACAACCGGCGGCCGGTCGCACGCGCCCACCTCCGGGTAGGCCTCGATAGCGGCGATCTCCGTCCCGTCCGGCGCCGGCGGCGTCGAGGCGGCGTCGGCCCCGGAGCCCGGAGCCGCGGCCGCCTTAGCCTCCTCCATCCCGCGGCAAACGAACCCGCGATCTCTTTGAATAAATTCATCGGCACGTCGCTCCTTGCATGGCCTCCTTGACCGCCGCCTCTTGGATTTCCTAGTATAATTCCTCGGAATGATTAAAACTTGTTCAACGTTTTCTATCCTTTGTGATGGTCGCGGGTCCTGTACGCATGAACTGTCATGCCGAGTTAATGAACTATTACTCAACTGGGGCCAGGTGCGAGCGCGGCGGAGCGTCGGGGCCCCCGGCGCACGTGAGTCCGGGGGCGGCGGCCGCGTCGCCCGCAATCGATGGCGCGGCGGCGGCCGCCGCCGCCGCAGCGCGGAAATCTCGAGGCGATCCAAACAACCCGCCATATTGGTCGACGTTTTCGCTGTTTTCCTGGAAGGGTACTCACGCGATGCAGGGCCGAGGTGGTATCCTATTGCAAACACAACGCCGAATTGAAGTATTCGCAACGCCATAAATAAGTACTCATTTGGAACTCGATAGCACGCAAGACACCAGTCCCTAGCACAGCACTCGAGAACTATCAACGCACACGACGTCAACGCTCGTTTCTACTCTGCTGTTCCGTGCAGACGAATGCCGACCATTTAGCATATACGTTGTCGGCATGCGCACTCGCGGATCCTTCCATTAAAAAATACAATCGCCGAAAAAAACTCTTCGGACACGGAGCACGAGATGAGAGGAGATTTATGGGCGGGGGCGGGGGGAGAGGTGGGAGCGGGAGGGGCAGGTGCGAGGGGCCGGGGGCGGCGATGGGGGTGTAGCGGGCGCTTGTAGTGAGCGTAGTGGCGATTATGAATGGAGCGGTGCAGATAGCGTACGAAATCGCTCTTAATAAATGCCTTATCGGAGTTGACTCATTTGGATTGTTTACTATTTCATTAATTTGGAAAGGTCGTGACTGATAAAGCGCCTTTGCGGGATTACACTAATATCCTATTTGTTTTGTCTGCCGATAAAGCAAACTCGCCCGTCTACCAATTTTCGTTGTCACTACAACAAAAAAAAAAAGCAATCCGAGTGAGCACTTCAAACAAACGAAAATTTTCACACTTCCCTAGCAAAAATTACCAAAATCGGCGACTTTTCCTTATCTCGAGGTCGCAATTACTAGTCAAAATTCCGCCGCGTGACATAATTAACCATAATTACATGACAATTTTTGTGTGCAGTTATCGCAAAGAATTTATTATCGTGTCAAAGAATATCAGTTAGATAATGGTGTCGTGAGTGATAGTTTTAGAAACTATATTTCGCTGTTCATGACCACAGTCAACTGCTTTTGTTGTACTTGTACTTATGGAAATGAAGTTTCGGCGTTGTGCTCGCGGTCCTCGCGACAGATGGCGCTGCAGAAGGTGATTTTAATTGTGAAATTTTGACGTTTTATTAACGCCATCTTGATGATGATCCCACACAACAAAGGCTGTTTGACTGTGGTCGTGACCAGCTTAATATATATAGTTTCTAAAAACCATCACTATGACACTATTGTCTAACTGCAGACTTCAACTTGACTTGCTATGACTTGTCTTAACCTGGTGTGGCCTGCCTAACATGACCTGACTGAGTTTCGGCGTTGTGCTCGGTGTCTTTGCGTTAGATGGCGCTGTAGAAGGTTAAAGTTTCATAGTTAAATTTACCTTCTACAGCGCCATCTGTTGCAAAAACAGTAAGCACAACCGTGGAACTTCATTTCCATAAAGCATTGATTAATAGCTAAGTTAAACAAGTTAAAAAAAATACTGAAAATTCCAAATATGAGTTATGCAACCAAACATACAAGTGAAAATTTTTATGAATAAACAGTTGGATATGTCCAAATCATGACGGATGCATAAAGTGGATATAGTGAACCAAGAGTTATAAGGTTATATGGCCATCATAAAATCATCCCATTGTGTCGAAGTTAAGTTGTTTACTATAGAAAAGGTTTTAGGGTCGTAAATAACGTGTCCACTGCAGCTCGACCGGCTCTTGTGGTTTCATTCAGGGGCGGCTTTCACTAAATATGAAAATCCACCACTCCACTATCTCTTTACTACCTGCAGCCGCTGAGGGTTCCGAAATAACCACTCGCTTTGAAAGCCGGCCCTGTTAAATATGAGCAAGAAATGTTTAGAAGATGATTTATTGCCAACCGGTAAGCTTAGTGCGAACCACACAAAGGGGGTATTTATTTGCGGTCAACTACTTTTATGATAGCCATATAACCTTATAGGTCTTGGCTCACTATATATAAGTATACAGTTTCTGAAAACCATCCCTTATGATATTATCTGATCTGATCTGAACTGGGATGATTTAATCTGATTTAGCCTAACCTGACTTGACTTAATCCGGACTGACGTAATCTAACCTGGCCTGGCTTGATTTGACTTGACCTGGTATGACCTGTCATAAACTGGTGTGGCCTGACCTAACATGATCTGACTTGGATCTGGTCTGACATGATTTGAATAGATCTAGCCTGACTTAACTTGACTTGACTTAAACTAGTCTGACTCGCTTGACCTTGATTGACCTGTCTTCGATGTGGCCTTCTCTGGGGCACCAAGTGTCTTTTTTTAAGAATATGAAACCTTCTAGGAGGGCCCAAATGTATTTTTTAAAGAAGGTGAAATCTTCTCGGGTGCCCCAACTATCTTTTTTTAACGAATGAGAAACCTTCTCGGGGGCGCAAACAATTTTTTTTTAAATGTGAAATCTTCTCGAGGGTCCCAACTACTTTTTTTTAGAAGGTCTATCTTCTTGGGGGGCCCATTTATTTCTTTTTAAGAATACGAAACTTCTCTAGGGCCCCAAGTATCTTTTTTTAAGAATATAAAGCCTTCTTGGGGGCTCCATGTGCCCTAACTTTTTATTTAAGAATATGCAAACTTCTTGGGGGCCCCAATTGTCTTTTTTTCTTTAAGCTGAAATCTTCTCGAGGGCCCCAGATATATATTTTTTAAGAATGCGAAACCTTCTCCGGGATCCCAAATATATATATTTTTTTAAATGTGAAACCCTCTCAGAGGTCCCAAGAGTTTCTTTTTTAGAATACGAAACTTCTCTAGGGCCCCAAATATCTTTTTTTTAAGAATATAAAGCCTTCTTGGAGTCCCCAATTGTCTTTTTTTTTAAGCTGAAATCTTCTCGAGGGCCCCAGATATATATTTTTTAAGAATGCGAAACCTTCTCCGGGATCCCAAATATATATATTTTTTTAAATGTGAAACCCTCTCAGAGGTCCCAAGAGTTTCGTTTTAAGAATACGAAACTTCTCTAGGGCCCCAAATATCTTTTTTTAAGAATATAAAGTCTTCTTGGGGGCCCCAATTGTCTCTTTTTTTTAAGCTGAAATCTTCTCGAGGGCCCCAGATATATATTTTTTAAGAATGCGAAACCTTCTCCGGGATCCCAAATTTTTATATTTTTTTAATGTGAAACCTTCTCAGATATCCCAACAGTTTCTTTTAAAAAATGCGAAACTTCTCTAAGGCCCCAAGTATCTTTTTTAAGAGTGTAAAACCTTCTCGGGGGCTCCATGTGCCTCAACTTTTTATTTGAGAATATGAAACCTTCTTGGGGGCCCCAATTGCCTTTTTTTAAGAAGCTGAAACCTTCTCGAGGGCCCCAAATATACATTTTTTAAGAATGCGAAACTTCTCTAGGGTGCCAAGTGTCTTTTTTTAAGAATATAAAACCTTCTTGGGGGCCCCAAGTGCCTCCTTTTAAGAAATAGAAACCTTCTCGAGGGCCCCAAATATATATTTTTTAAGAATGCGAAACCTTCTCAGGGGCCCCAAATGTCTTTTTTTAAAGAAGGTGAAATCTTCTCGGGTGCCCCAACTATCTTTTTTTAATGAATGTGAAACCTTCTCGGGGGGCCCATTTGTTTTTTTTTTTTTTTTCAGAATATAAAACCTTCTCGGGGTTTCCAAATATGTATATATATTTTTTCAAATGTGAAACTTTCTCAGAGGTCCCAACAGTTTCTTTTAAAAAATGCCAAACTTCTCTAGGGCCCAAGTATCTTTTTTTAAGAATATAAAACCTTCTCGGGGGCTCCATGTGCCCTAAGTTTTTATTTATTTTTTTTTAATGTGAAACCTTCTCAGAGGTCCCAACAGTTTCTTTTAAAAAATGCGAAACTTCTCTATGGCCCCAAGTATCTTTTTTTAAGAATATAAAACCTTCTCGGGGGCTCCATATGCCCCAACTTTTTATTTGAGAATATGAAACCTTCTTGGGGGCCCCAGTTGCCTTTTTTTAAGAAGCTGAAACCTTCTCGAGGGCCCCAAATATACATTTTTTAAGAATGCGAAACTTCTCTAGGGTGCCAAGTGTCTTTTTTTAAGAACATAAAACCTTCTTGGGAGTCCCAAGTGCCTCCTTTTAAGAAGTAGAAACCTTCTCGAGGGCCCCAAATATATATATTTTTTAAGAATGCGAAACCTTCTCAGGGGCCCCAAATGTCTTTTTTTAAAGAAGGTGAAATCTTCTCGGGTGCCCCAACTATCTTTTTTTAATGAATGTGAAACCTTCTCGGGGGGCCCATTCGGTTTTTTTTTTTTTTCAGAATATAAAACCTTCTCGGGGCTTCCAAATATGTATATATATTTTTTCAAATGTGAAACTTTCTCAGAGGTCCCAACAGTTTTTTTTTTAAATGCCAAACTTCTCTAGGGCCCCAAGTATTTTTTTTTAAGAATATAAAACCTTCTCGGGGGCTCCATGTGCCCTAAGTTTTTATTTAAGAATATGCAACCTTCTTGGGGGCCCCAAATGTCTTTTCTTTTAAGCTAAAATCTTCTCGAGGCGCCCAGGTACATATTTTTTAAGAATGCGAAACCTTCTCCGGGATCCCAAATATATATATTTTTTTAATGTGAAACCTTCTCAGAGGTCCCAACAGTTTCTTTTAAAAAATGCCACACTTCTCTAGGGCCCCAAATATATTTTTTTAAGAATATAAAACCTTCTCGGGGGCTCCATATGCTCCAACTTTTTATATGAGAATATCAAACCTTCTTGGGGGCCCCAATTGCCTTTTTTTAAGAAGCTGAAACCTTCTCGAGGGCCCCAAATATACATTTTTTAAGAATGCGAAACTTCTCTAGGGTGCCAAGTGTCTTTTTTTAAGAATATAAAACCTTCTTGGGGGCCCCAAGTGCCTCTTTTTACGAAACCTTCTCAGGGGCCCTAAATGTCTTTTTTTCAAGAAGGTGAAATCTTCTCGGGTGCCCCAACGATCTTTTTTTACCGAATGTGAAACCTTCTCAGGGGGTCCATTTGTTTTTTTTTTCAGAATATAAAACCTTCTCGGGGCTTCCAAATATATATATTTTTTCAAATGTGAAACTTCCTCAGAGGTCCCAACAGTTTCTTTTTAAGAATACGATACTTCTCTAGGGCCCCAAGTATCTTTTTTTAAGAATATAAAACCTTCTCGGGGGCTCCATGTGCCCTAAGTTTTTATTTAAGAATATGCAACCTTCTTGGGGGCCCCAATTGTCTTTTTTTTAAGCTAAAATCTTCTCGAGGCGCCCAGGTACATATTTTTAAGAATGCGAAACTTCTCTAGGGTGCCAAGTGTCTTTTTTTAAGAATATAAAACCTTCTTGGGGGCCCCAAGTGCCTCTTTTTAAGAAGTAGAAACCTTCTCGAGGGGCCCAAATATAAATTTTTAAGAATTCGAAACCTTCTCGGGGGCCCCATGTGTCTTTTTTTTGAAATTATAAAACCTTCTCGGGGCCCCAACTGTCACTTTTTTGAAGAAAATAAAACCTTCTCAGGGCCCCAAACTGTCTTTTCTTAAAAAGGTGAAACTTTCTCGGGGGCACAAACTGTTTTCATTTTAAGAATGTGAAATTTTCTCAGGGGTTCCAACTGTTTTTTTTTTTAAGAAAATGAAACCTCGAGGGCCCCAAATATATATTTTTTAACAATATGAAACCTTCTCGGGGGTTCCATGTGCCCCAACTTTTTATTTAGGAATATGGAACCTTCCTGGGGGCCCCAACTGCCATTTTTAAAAGGTGAAACCTCCTACTGTTCTGATCGGACGTGACTTGACCTGATCTGACTTAGAATTGGCATAATCTGAGGTGACTTGACCTAATTCGATTTAGATTTGGCCTGACTTAACTTGAATCTGGTCTGACTTGACCTAAACTGATTTGGTTTAACCTTAACTGGCCTGGCCTTTACTTGATCTGATTTGGATCTGGCCTGACGTAATTTGACCAGATCTGGCATGACCTAATTTGGATCTGTACTGACCTGACCTCAACTGATCTGACCAGGAAACTTGACCTCAGTGATTTATAAGTGACCTGACTTGACCTAATTCAACTCTATCAAAAAATGTTTTCTATAGTTTCTACAATTCAAAGAAAAAATGTCGAGTTTATTTATAAAACGTTAAGAAAAATTTGATTGCATTATTATTATTGAAGTTTGAGGGAGTGATGTTGTGAAATTAAAAATTCTCAAAAACGAAAAACTGTTGCCAACTTTGTAGCTCCTACTTAGATGCTTTTTTACACGATGAAACAGTTAAGTTTAACAACCTGAACTGACATTACAGAAAAATGGGTCAACTAATCAGCGCCATCTAGCCGACTTTATCTACAACGACGCCCTCTTAACACAATAAAACCACATATTTTAACACCCTCTTAACTCAATTTTAAAAATAGAGTCTTTCATATTTCATAACTCCAAAGAGTGTTTATGCAACCATACATACACAGAAAACAATAAATCGAACAAAAAAACGCTTTATTACATCCAGAGTTCCCGTAACTCGGACTAATACATTTACTTAAGCAACTTCTTCACCTCTGGGTTCTCTAAAACCGCGTTAACCCCATTTCTAGTCCATGTACTGACCAAACCTGGCAATTCACTCAAAAACTCAAAACTGGAAGTTACGCCCTTATTCCAATACAACTGAATATTTTCAGTGGTTCTGTCACTGGCTGGAATTTTAGGCAGCTGAAAAAATCGTATCACAAAACTGACTCCAGCAAACTTACTATTATCAAACCTCAAAAGGAATTTGCTTACGTATTTCACCAACATAGGGCTCCATTGCCGTATTTAGTTTGTCATACGCTTTTAAAGCCTCTTGGCTTTCCTTCCAAATACCTTCTTCTTTTATATAATAGACAGCCCCAGCAGCTAACCCAGCTTTAATGGCAAACCTGAAAACCCACAAAGTGCAGTTATGTAATCAATGATGAATCAAAAAGTGTTCAAAAATATAACACAGCCCCCCCACGGTACCTTATCATTTTTTCAGTAGCGTTGTTCGTTGCGTGGGCCCCAAAATCTGAAAATTTTCCAAAATTGTGTTTTTTCAAGCAATGATTACGTCACTGTTTACTCACATTTTACCACTTGTTTTCGTCCGTCGGCTAAAAATACCCCGCGTTTTGTAAAAAGGAACCCGCTTTTATTAATTTTGTTGGTGGTCGACAATTTTCTGTGGGTGTTTTGAGGTTATGTTCACTCGTGACACTCCGACAGCCAAATTTCGTTTCCGTAACGTAAAAAACCTCCACGGGTGTTTAAAAACGCGACCTTTCACCGACACACACAGTAAAATTGTTCAAATACTTTCCTGTCTGCAAAATTTAGTCAAGTTTTTTCGCGATTTTGAATTTCGCGCGTCAGCGCGACTACCGCCCCCTACCCCACGCCTGCGCCATTTGCAAAAAGTGGTTAAAATGTTTGCTGGCGGTGATAAGCGATAAGTGATAATGGACAATTAAGCCAGTTTCTGTGGTAATTCAGTCAAATAATCACGTTTTTCGTAAGAAAAGTCCGTTACATGTTGTAGTGAAGTTGCATTTCGTATGACTTTTGTGGAGTGAGAATTGGTTGCAAGGTATTTTTGACCGAGTTCGCGTTTGGCTTAAAAACGATTGTGATACGAAAATTGCGTTTCCAGATGGACGAGCAGCCGAAGGAGAGAATTCGGTGCTTCTTTGATGTCTCAATTGGGGGCTTACAGTCAGGCCGGATCGTGTTTGAGCTGTTCACTGATGTGGTGCCGAAAACGTGTGAGAATTTCAGGTGCCTGTGCACTGGGGAGAAAGGCTTGGGGCAGAACACGAAGAAGACGCTACATTTTAAGGTTTGGCGGACTATTAATAATCTCTGTGTGTGTAATTTAGGGTTTTAGGGAGTCGTGTTCCACCGGGTGGTGAAGGATTTTATTATCCAAGGGGGAGATTTTTCCAATGGGAATGGGACTGGAGGAGAGAGTATTTACGGCGGGACTTTCGAAGGTAAGTAAAGTGGGTTCATTTAATGAATACAGGTTAAAAGTCAGGGTTAATTATTATAATCAAGTAGGTGCTTGGGGAATAATTAGGGAATTTTATGCAGGTTGGTAGTGACAGTCACAGGAAGTGTCACTCATTCAATGTTTGTTAATTAAATTAAAAAAACGACAATTTTGTTAGAAAAATGCAACAAACTTTGAAATCAGTTCGTGAATTTTCGTTGCGAAGATTCCCGAATCACTCTTTACAACTGCCGACGACTCCCGAGGCTCAATTTTCGACTTTTTCCAGATGAAAACTTTGATTTAAAGCATGACCAGCCGTTCCTTCTGTCGATGGCGAACCGCGGCAAGGATACCAACGGGTCTCAGTTTTTTATGTGAGTGGCAATACTGAAAGGGTAAAAAAAATCCATAACGTTTGTTATAGTGACTATAACCACAGCGAAGTGTTCTATCCAAGCTTCACTAACTCAAACTTAGAGTCGTTGAATGCGGAAGCCTTGATAGAGCAACCTTCCTCCAGTTTTCTTCCTTACTTAGCTTCTCACTTCTAGATGTTTTTACATTTAACATTTAGCAAATTTCTCAGTTGCCTTACGAGATGTGTTACAGAACAGTTACTTTTGTTGTTCTGTAGCAGTACGTCTGTTCCATCTATCCTGGCCTTCGCTGATCATATCTTGTCATGTTTTGTGTTATAGTACCACACAACCGGCCCCTCATCTCGACAAGTAAGTAGAATTTCTGAGTTTGAGACGGTTTTGAGTGAAATTGGGAATTGTAGTGTTCATGTTGTCTTTGGACGCGTTGTCGGAGGAGTCGATGTCGTGCGTCAGATCGAATCCTTGCCAGTAGATACGAACAGTCGGCCTTTACAGGATGCCAAAATTGTCAAGTGTGGTGAATTGGTGCGCCAAGTGAAAGGTATAATAGTCATAAATTTTAATTTAGTCGTGTTTAACACTTTCACTTCAGCCAAAAAAGAGAAAAAGAAGAAGAAGGAGGAGAACGAGGAAGAGGAAGCCACCTCCGGGGACGAAAAGAAGAAAAAGAAACACAAAAAGGACAAAAAGAAGGAGAAGAAAGACAAGAAAAATAAAGAGTAAGAAAATCGGGTTTATTGTCGTCTAGTTGATTATTATTCGTCGTTGTTGCAGAAAAACTGAAGGTGACTCAGAGGAAGAAGGTGAAGTGCAAGACCTCCACCCTCTGGCGACCGTGACCGATATTAACCCAGAAGATATACCTGACGTACCTTTCAACAAATTCCTAATGAGAGGCCCCCAGGAAAAAGAGAAAGAGAGGAAATTCAACAAGAAGCGAAAAGGTGAGTGTCGGATGTGGCGGGCGTGGGATTACAAGCTTCGTTATAGATGATTTCAGAAGAGACAGGAGACGAGATTGGGATCACGGTTTCAACCGCAGGGACCGCCCCATCACCACTAAGAGCGGCAGAATTATCAAGGGCAGAGGGAAATTTGTAAGTACCCTTGACACATTGATTGATTGTGTAAAAATAAAAAAATGAAAATGTAGAGGTATAGAACGCCCTCTCGAAGTCGATCCAGAAGCGGGACTCCGTTACACTGGCGAAAGGAGGAATCCCGCGTCATTAAGCTCTCAGAGTTCGAAAAACTGGAGGCCGAGCGGAAGAAGCGCGAAGAGCGGCGGAGACAAGAGAAGGCCATTCGGGAAGAGAATCGTCAGGAAGGGGATTCCGACGAGAAAAGTAACGATAAACAGAACAAAGAAGTCGACTATAACGCGTTGGACTATGAGGAAAATCAGTCGGAAGAGGAGGAGACGGTGCGCAAGCAGGTACCGAGTTTGGTCCAGTACCCCCTTCCGGGTACTTTCAACCCGAACAAGGAACCGGCTAACGAGAAGGACGAAGTCAAGGATGGGCAGGAGGAGATCGTCAGTAACGCGAAAAGCGAAGTCATGGCTATGGCGTTGGGGGTACAAGTGAAGACGGGAGAGGAGTCACCGAGGGACGGACCCATCAGCGGGTTCGAGAAACGAAACAAACAGAACGAGGTAAGATTTTAAATTTAATAAAATCTGGATTTTTTATTTAACCGTGTTTTTTTTAAACGGGCTCAGATATTGGTACTAAATTAAGTAACGCCGGTGACGCTTTTTCTTGTAGAGACGTAGAAAGAGAAGTAAGAATTGTGGCCAAAAGTGTCAAGCGAAGTTATTAGAGGCTATAACGGAAATTTTAGAAGCAGAAGCGGATGAAATCGATGGTTTCATGTTTACCGTTGCTTCTAAATTGAGAAAAATGGATGAAATTCAGCGTCCGTTGTGCCAAAATTTAATTACTAAAGTGTTGGATTTAGGGGATTTGGGACGATTAACTGAAAGCACGGATGTTGAATTTAACGTTGAGCGTCCTTTTTATGATTCAAATTTATGCAAGACGAACAATGACGGTTTCATTTTTTTCGTTGATGATTATGTTTAACTTTTGGTCGGGGAGTGTGGGAGCGACCGCAAAAATCCCACGTTAAAAAAAAAATGTTTATTTAGTGTGGATTTACTCGTTAGGGGGTATAAAAGTCACTGGAAATACGCTTTTTGTAAACAAGAATTGTTTTCGTTTTTGTATTATTTATAAATATAAATATATCGTCGTTCCGAGGACATCGTTTTTATAACGCCCTTTTTGCGCCAGATTTCCCAGAATAACGACCACCACGCCAACCTGATGAAGCTCGCCGGCCAGCCAAACGACCCCCAGAAAAAGCGCAACCAACAAGACAAAAAAGAAGCCGAAGTACGCACAGGCCGCAACAAATTCGAGACGGAGAAACCCGACAATCACAACGACGAGAATCGCGCTTACAAGAACGGGGGCTACCGCGAGCCGAACCGCCGACGGATGGAGAGGCGGCCGTTCGACGACCGGAGACCCTTGCGGCGGCCGTTCGGCCGCCGCGACCGAGGGCGGTACGCGCCGTACCCGTCGCGCGAGCGCAAGTACCGGCGCTCGCCGCGGAGGTCCAGGTCGAGGCACAGGCAGCGCTCGCGCTCGCGGAGGCGCTCCCACAGGCGCTCGACCACCCCCGACGACAAGTCGCGGAACAGGTCGAAGTCGCCCAGCGACGACGAGAAGAAGAAGCCGGAAGCCAACCACAAGGAAGAGAAGAAGGTGGACGACGCCGAGGAGAAGTACAAGAGGTTGTTGATTTTGCGCAAGCAGATGGAGTTGCTGGAGATGAAGAAGAAGAAGGAGGTGGAGCAGGTGAGTGTGGGCGGAGTGAGGGACGGTTTGTAGCGGGTGGTTGCAGAAGCTGATGGAGGAGAAGCACAGGAAGGCGAAGGAGGAGGCGGATATGCTGGAGAAGGCGAAGAAGGCGAAGAGGGAGGCGATCGAGAAGGAGAAGTTGCTGAAGACGTACAAAGTGCTGCAGGAGTTGGATAAGAACAGTTCGGGGAAGGGGAAGAGGGCGCGGAGTTACAGCTCGGGCAGTTCGAGCAGCTACAGCGACAGTTCGAGTGATTCGTCGTCAAGGTTTGTGGTCGGGGGGCGTGGTTTTGGCCGAGTTATTTTGGTGTTTGAAAAGTAGAAGCATTGTTTAAGTATATTATAGTTGGACAACCTAATACAAATTTTACTTCGGCTAAATAGTGAGCTTTAGGACAAGAGATCCAGGGGGCGTGGGACAAATTTTTCGTGAACGCGCATTTTCACTACAGTGAGCCAACGTATTAGGTTTATTTTACTCTAAATCAGATGGCGCCATCAAACATTAGCGAAGGCAAACACCCTTCACTCTGCTCTTATACGAGGAGTTATCCATAAATCCATAATTAACATTGTTCCGTAAACAGTAATGTGTATAAACATATATGTACAAAATATGAAAATACACTTCTTCAAGTGTTATATTTTTAAGATGTCATATTTGTCAGCGTTTCCAAAATTTTCTTCTTTGCATAGGTCAACTAATTTTTCGTAAACCGCATTTTAAAATTTTTGTTATTGTATTTTTTACTTTTTATTTTTCTAAGGCATGAAAAAATCCCATATAGGTTTCTATGAATGATGAATGTATTAACGAAATCAACTGATAACTTGCGCGCCATTTTGTGTTAATTAACACCAATAGTGATTATGATAATTTTATAATTATCATTTTAAAGAAATTGTGTTGTTCACTTCGCGAACGACAGCAAACAATTTAAAATTACCGCTAGTCAAGCACCTGAAAATCCATCTCTCCCAAATATGTCTTTCTTGGCACGATTTGTAATCCGAAGTCTCCCTCCACAAGCAATTTTTCGTCGCCTGAGAACTTGTTTGATCTACAGACCAAAGCACACTCAGGCCAATATCGGCTTTAAGCGATTTATCTATAAACCGATATTCGTTAGAGTTGATCTGATACACATCCACTACGAAGAACTAACCCATTTCGACCATTGGACTTTAAAAACGAATAAGTGAACAAAGTTCTTGAACATCTTAACGATTTAATACATAATGTTCCCGAATGACAAAATTTACATTTCAAATTGTATTATCAAATTACACTCACCAAAATTTGTCACGAACAATGAAATGACGCAATCTCCAAATTTTACAATAGTAAAATTATAGTTTCGCCCCGTTTACGGTTTATGCATCCGTGTCGAGTTTTCACCTTAGACGTCAAGATTTTTGTAGAAAAAAAATCAACATTTTCCAATTTATAATGTTATTTAAATTTTAAAAAGTAGAACAGTCCTGAGCTTGTGATTTATACCTAAATACGCTATTGGGATTTTTCGGTTTGTCGATTTCTCGATTTTTCAACTTTAAATGTCACAATTTTTCAATATTTCAATTTTGGGCTTTTCCGATTCCTCCATTTTTTAAATTTTCTATTTCTCGATTTTTTTATTTTTCGATTTCTCAATCTTTCGATGTTTCAATAATACGATTTCTCAATTTTTGTCCTCTTCAATTTTACGGTTTTTAAATATTTCGATTTTTCAATTTTTCAAATTTTCGCGTTTCTAAATTTTCAGTTTGCCGATTTCTAAAGTATTTTTTTTTATTTGTCCGTTTCTGGACTTCCTAAAGTTTCGATTTTTCACATCTTCAATTCTTCAATTTTTCGATTTTTTAAGATTACGATTTTTCAATTTTGCTTTTTTAGATTTTCGATTTCTTAATTTTTTTAATATTTCTTTCAGTTATGAGATTTTTCAATATTTCAATTTTTCGACTTTTCGATTTTTGAATTGATGGATTTTTTTTGATTTCTCGATTTTTTACTTTTTGGATTTTCAATTTATTGTAAACTTTAGATTTTTTAATTCTGCGACTGTTTAATGCTTCGATTTCTCAATTTTTAAACTTTTCGATGTTTTAATATTTCATTTTTTAAAATTCTAGGTTTTTCGATATCTCGAGTTTTCAGTTCTTCTATATTTCAATTTTTCGATTTTTTGAATTTTGATTTTCGATTTTCCAGTTTTTCTTTTTTAAAATTTTTCGATTATTCAATTTTTTAATTTCTCAATTTATCGAATTCAGATGTTTCGTTGTTTTGCTTGTTCAATTTCTAAATTTTTCAATTTTTAACTTTCCTTTTCGGCTTCCGACTCCTCAATTTCTCGATCCTCCGATTTTTCGATTTGTTGAAGTTTCAGTTTTTGAATTTTTCGATGTTTCGATTTTTGGATTTCTCGGTTTTTCGATTTTTTTTCTTTTGAGCTTTTCAATTTCTGGATTTTCCAATTTTTCAACGCCCCGATTTTTCAATTTTTCAAATTCAATTGGATTTCTCGATTCTTCAATTTTGCGATATTTTAATTATTCCTTGTTTTAAATTTTAGTTTTTCCGATTTCTCGATTTTTTTACTTTTCAGTTCTTCAGTATTTAAATTTTTCAATTTTTCAAATTTTTGCGTTAAATTTTCAGTTTTCTGATTTCTCAATTAATCTATTTTTTTTTTCTCAATTTTTCAGTTTTTTAAGTTCCCAATTTTTGAATATTTCTTTCAGTTTTGGGATTTTCCAATATTTTGATTCTCCGACTTTTCGATTTTTCGACTTTCAGTTCTTTGGTATTTCTATTTTTCAATTTTTCAAATTTTGACGTTGCTAAATTTTCAGTTACCTGATTTCTCAATTAATCTATTTTTGATTTTGCAATTTCTGGACTTCTCGAAGTTTCGCCTTTCAGTTTTTCAATTCTTTGATTTTTCGACTTTGCTTTTTTGGTTTTTTGATTTTTCAATTTTCCAGTTTTTTAATTTCTCAATTTTTGAATATTTCTTTCAGTTTTGGGATTTTCCAATATTTTGATTCTCCGACTTTTCGATTTTTCGACTTTCAGTTCTTCAGTATTTCTATTTTTTAATTTCAAATTTTGACGTTGCTAAATTTTCAGTTTCCCGATTTCTCAATTAATTTATTTTTTGATTTTCCCATTTCTCGACTTCTCGAAGTTTCGCCTTTCAGTTTTTCAATTCTTTGATTTTTCGATTTTTCAATTTTCCAGTTTTTTAATATCTCAATTTTTTGATGTTTCTTTTAGTTATGGGATTTTCCAATATTTTCATTCTCTGACTTTTCGATTTTTCGACTTCCGGATTTTTCAATTTTTTATTTTTTGGATTTTCAGTTTTTTCGTTTTTTAAACTAGATTTTTCAATTTTTCGACTGTTTCATATTTCGATTTCTCAATTTTTCAATTTTCCGATATTTTAATTCTTCAATTGTCCGAATTTTTAAATTTTCGATTTTTCCATTTTTTGAGATCTCGATTTATCAATTTTTCGATTTGTAACTTTTGAATTTTTCGATTTTGGCCTATTTCGGTTTCTTGTTTTTTTTTCGATGTTTTAACTTCTCGACTTTTCGACTCCTCGATTTCTCGATTTTTTGATGTTTCAGTTTTTGAATTTTTCGATGATTCGATTTTTCGATTTTTGAATTATCCGATTTTTCAATTTTTCAATTTTTTTCACTTTCGAGTTTCGATTTCTCGATTTGTTGATCTTTCAGTTTTTCGATTTTTAAATTTTGGATTTTCGAAATTTTATTTTTTTGATTTTTTGATGTTTGGATTTCCCCATTTTTCAATTTTACGATATTTTAATTTTTCAGTGTTTTAAATTTTAGATTTTTCAGGTCTTCAATGTACTTTAATTTTTCAAATTTTGACGTTTCCGAATTTTCAGTTTTCCGCTTTCCCAATTAATCTATTTTTTGATTTTCCCATTTCTCGATTTTCCCAAGTTTCGATTTTTCAGTGTTTTTGATTCTTCATTTTTTCGATTTTTTAAGTTTGCGATTTTTCGACTTTCCTTTTTTGGCTTTTCGATTTTCCAATTTTTCAATTTTTTAATTTCCCAATTTTTGGATATTTTGTGTGATACATTTTTCGATATTTCAGTTTTGGGATTTTTTTACTATTTCGACTTTTCGAGTTCCGGATTTTTCGATTTTTCGACTTTTTACTTTTTGGATTTTCAATTTTTCGACTATTTTATACTTCGATTTCTCAATTTTTCAAGTTTTCAATTTTTAAAATTTCGATTTCTCGATTTTCAGTTCTTCTATACATATTTCAATTTTTCAGTTTTCCAAATTTTTAATTTTTTTATTTTTCCAATCTCTTTTTTAAAATTTTCCGATTTTTCAATTTTCTGATTTCTCGATTTATCGAATTTAGATGTTTCGACATTTTGATTGTTCAATTTCTCGATTTATTAATTTTTCAATTATTAACTTTTCTTCTAGACTTTCCACTCCTCGATTGCTCGATCCTCTGATTTTTCGATTTCTCTCCATCATCATCTCAGTTTTTAAATTTTTCGATGTTTCGATTTTTCAGTTACGCTATTTTTTAATTTTTCAATTCTTTAAATTCTGGAGTTTGGATTTCCCGATTTGGCGATTTTTTAGTTTTTCGATTTTTAAATTTTAGATTTTCGAAATTTTATTTTTTGAGTTTTTGATGTTTTAAATTTTAGATTTTTCGATTCTAGTTCTTCGGTATTTTTATTTTTCAATTTTTCAAATTTTGACGTTGCTAAATTTTCAGTTTTCCGATTTCTCAATAAATCTATTTTTGATTTTCTCATTTCTCGACTTCTCGAAGTTTAGACTTTTTAGTTCTTCAATTCTTTGATTTTTCGACTTTGCTTTTTTGATTTTTCGATTTCTAAATTTTCCAGTTTTTCAATTTCTCAATTTTTGGATATTTCTCTCAGGTGTGGGATTTTCCAATATTTTGATTCTCTGACTTTTCGATTTTTCGATTTTTTATTTTTTGGATTTTCAGTTTTTTAAACTTTGGATTTTTCAATTATTCGACTGTTTTATATTTCGATTTCTCAAATTTTCAACTTTTCGATATTTAATTTTTAAAATTCTATATTTTTCAATTTCTCGAGTTTTCAGTTCTTCTGTATTTTAATTTTTCAATTGTCCGAATTTTTAAATTTTCGAATTTTCAATTTTTTGAGATCTCGACTTATCAATTTTTCCATTTTTAACTTTTCGATTTTGGCCTATTTCAGTTTCTTGGTTTTTCGATGCTTCTCGACTTTCGACTCCTTGATTTCTCGATTTTTTGATTTGTAGGTTTTTCCATTTTTTACTTTTTGGCTTTCCGATTTTTCCATGTTTCGATTTTTGAATTATCCGATTTTTCAATTTTCCAGTTTTTTAAATTTTCGAGTTTCGTTTTCTTGATTTGTTGATATTTCCGTTTTTCGATTTTTAAATTTTAGATTTTCGAATTTTTATTTTTCCCACTTCTCAAAGTTTCGATTTTTCAGTTCTTCAATTCTTCGATTTTTCGACTTCGCTTTATTGGTTTGTCGATTTCTCAATTTTTGGATATTTCTTTCAGTTTTGATATTTTTCAATACTTCGATTCTTTCATTTTTCGACTTCTAGATTTTTCTATTTTTTATTTTTGGATTTTCAGTTTTTTGTTTTTTATTTCAATTTCTCAATTTTTCAACTTTTCCATATTTTAATTTTTAAATTTCTAGATTTTTCGGTTTCTTGAGTTTCCAGTTCTATATTTTAATTTTTTAAATTTCCGAATTTTTTTATTTTTTGAGATCTCAATTTATTGAGATTCGGATGTTTCGATGTTTTGATTATTCAATCTCTCGCTTTATCAATTTTTCCATATTTAAGTTTTCGATTTTTCGATTTTGGCCTATTTCGGTTTCTCAATTTTTTGATTTTTCGACTTCTCGATTTTTCGACTCCTCGATTTTTTTGTCTTTTGATTTTTCGATTTCTCGATGTCTCAATTTTTGAATTTTACAATGTTTCGATTTTTCGATTTGTTGGTTTTTCGATTTTTTGCTTTTCGGTTTCTCGATTTTTGATTTATCCGATTTTTCACTTTTCCAGTTTTTTTAAATTCTCGACTTCTCGATTCGTTGATTTTTCAGTTTTTCGATTTTTAAATTTTAGATTTTTATTTTTTTTTATTTTTTGATGTTTGGATTTCTCCATTTTTCAGTTTTAGGATATTTTAACTTTTCAATGTTTTAAATTTTAGATTTTTCGATTTTTCAGTTCTTCAATATTTTTTTATTTTTCAAATTTTGACGTTTCTGAATTTTTAGTTTTCGGATTTCTCAATTAATCTATTTTTTCATATTCCCATTTCTCCACTTCCTAAAGTTTCGATTTTTCAGTTCTTTACTTCTTCAATTTTTCGATTATTCAGGTTTTTAATTTTTCAATTTTTCGATTTTTTAAGCTTGCGATTTTTAGACTCTGCTTTTTTGATTTTTCTGTTTCTCAATTTTTTAATTTCCTAATTTTTTGATATTTCGTTCGATTTTGTGATTTTTCAGTTTTTCGATTTCTCAATTTTAACTTTTCAATTTTTAAATTATTAATTTTTTTCGATTTTTTGAGTTTTTAGTTCTTCTACATTTCAATTTTTCAATTTTCGGAATTTTTAAATTTTCGATTGTCCAATTTTTTTTTATTTTTCGATTTTCCAATTTTTCGATGTTTCGATTTTTGAATTAACCGATTGTTCAATTTCTCGATTTTTAAATTTTAGATTTTCCAATTTTTATTTTTTTGATTTTTTTGTTTCGATTTCTCGATTTTACAATTTTCCCGTATTTGAATTTTTCAATGTTTTAAATTTTCAATTTCGAGGATTTACTGTGTTACAGTAGTCATCAGTCATTACTCATAAAAAACGATTATTGCTGTGCGTTAAAATGCCTACATACTGATAAACACGTACATACAAGACACATTTAAGGCTGTTTTAAGTCTGCTAGATATAATTTTTGCAATTTTAAATTTATTTCTTGATGTCTAAATCGTATATATTTAAATGGTGATGAATATTTTGTGATACAATCTTAGGATAAAATGCATTTTAGTTTCAAAGATAATATGTATTTAATGATTTGACTACTGTTAATAAAAAAATACGTAAGAAGATGTTCATATTGAATTAATTTGGTGTTCATAGTTTGATGATAACCCATAGTTATTCTGGAGGCAAATTAGATGACTTGTTACTTATTAATTAAAGTAGTGGTCGTTTAATTTCGTACCTTTAAAGTGGACGAAGGGACGCATATTTGTTAACCATGCAGTTCATGGATAATAGGTATACCGCGATAATATTAAATTTTTGTTAGCTTAACCTTGAAACAGGTATGCACTACATATACATATATTACATATATGTAAAGTCTTCAACACGTACGTTTGCTTACTTTGTGACTGCTCCCCGTACAGCATACTGATTAATACGTCCGTTTACTACCTTATCGACATCACGTGCTTACGGACTATTTTTATCCCCTTTCGTAAGGTACCGCCACTTCATAGTGAAGCGAGTGAGATGTAAAATATATATTCATTCTTTTCTACATGGGAAAGTGATTGTCCGTATAGGTTGTCCAACTATAATATACTTAAACATTCTAACTCGGAAATAGAGCGTGTTTAAGGTTTATTTTGGCGTGTGTGTAGGAAGTCCAAGAGGCGCGGGAGGTCGCGGTCTCGTTCGAGGAGAAAGGGGAAGAGACGCAGCAGTTCCAGTAGAAGTAGGTCCCGGCGCAGAGGCTACACCCCCAAGAAGAAAAGATAATACAAAGATTTACCCATTTCCAATACGTTTCATTCTTTTTTCACGTGTTTTAAGGTTTCAAACATTGTATATTTTTTTGGGAAAATAGTGTTCTGAGAAAACACCACATGTAAAGAATTCGAAAAAAAAAAACAACTGAGTTTTCTTTGCCCCGTCGCCACACACACTACTAGGGAAGAAAAAAGTACTGAAAATACCAAACACTTTTATTATTCATCATATTGCTACCATAGCAATATAAAATCTAATATAATTATTGTTAACAATTAACACTTGCTATGTGATTTTCCTTCATTTTTACTTACAGAGGACAGTTTTCCATGAGACAGCATCGACAATCGCATGTAAAAAACTATGAAATTAGGTACCAAAAACGAATCAAATAAAAAATGATTATAAACTTAAACGTTATATTATAAAATAATACGAAGTGTCAGTGAGAAAAGCAAGTATAAAACCTTGATATTAAGCTACGGCTTCGACTTCCATCGGTTGGTCCACTTCACCTTCCGTCTTCTTTTTTTTCTTTTTGGCAGCTTTAGGGTTAGCGGAACTTCTGAGTATCGTTTGAAGTTGAGGATCACTTATAGAATGCTCCGACTTGTACAATTCGGGATCGAAAGGCAGACCCGTGATTTTGTGCGGTCCGTTCGGCATTAACAAGACCGTGAATTTGAAGTGAGCAACGAATTCACCTAGAAAAACCCAGTTGAAACCCAATTCGACCCCGACTCGTCCAACTTACCCGATTTTTCATAAAGCACTTGGAACGGTTCGATTAGCTTATTCTTAACGCACTCCACCACCCCCATCTTCGCCTTAGTTTCGTCTTGGAACCCCCGCAGATTGAAAGGCATGCTCCCGTGTTTCGAGCGCACTTCGGTGTAGAACATCCTCGACGCCTTCAACTTCAGCTGGTAAGTCTCTTCAGTTTTCTTGTAGATGGAGACTCTGCTGTCGCCCTCCTTACCGACGCCTTCGCCTGTACTGATGAGCACGTCCATGGCGTACACCTCGTGCTTATCCAGCTCGAACTTCTCGTGTTCCTTTTTTTGCGCTTCATTCGGATTCTGGATGATGGTTTTCTCACCGTCGATTTTGAACTGCTTAAGCTGGTGACTTAGCATCCCCTCTACTGGTTTACAGTTGAAAGATTCGACTACGCGCTGCACAGCGTCGGTGATTGTGTACGTTTCGTTCCCGGGTTTCAGGAGTCTCAAGGCTGCCTCGGAAGCGTAATGAGCCGCCAACATCACGTCGGCTTTTCGAGCGGTGGCTTTATTCTCGCCGGAAACGCCGAGGATGATAGTGTGGGCCACGACGGCGATGAAGCCGTCAATGTGGGCCCCCAGGTCACTGCAAAATCGAAAACGGGGTTAGTGGTGACACAGACACCGCGATTTTTAGGTCACTAAGTGCGCGTCAGACAACATGGTGCAATCACCGACTTCAGTGGGATCAATTGGAGTGTCAAAAAATCATCACCAGTTGATTTTGCTTTATAAAGGGTGTTTTAACCTCTACTCACACTTTAACCACATCCCCCTCCTTCAAGATATAGTCAGGCTCGCTGGCAATCGGCGAAAAATGGCAGATGCAATTGTTGACCGACACGCACGTCGGGAACGCGATTCCCTTCTTCAGCTCCTTCTCCTTCTTGAAAACCTTGCTGGTCTCGTCCGTGATCAACTGATCCCCGAACTCGCAGATCTCCCGAACGGAACTCCCGACCGCACACTTCTCAAGGACCTGCTTCAGGATTCCTACAAAACAAAAACACGACTTAGACCACCACCGGCGAACCCGCTCTAATTTACATAGACCAGTCCACATTGGGGCCGCGAAATGCGCCCGAACCGAGTTCGAAAAAGCACATGGTTTTCCAAGCCGCATCCATATGGCCGTAGCCGGATTTCGGGAAATGCAAGGTTAGGGGGGCGAGGTTCGAGACGGGAACAAAAGGGGGCTTAGTGGGGCGCTAAAACTCACTGTTAACGATCTCTCCTGCCATTTTATACTTGGTGACGACCAAGTCTTCGGCGATGGTCTTTTCCACATTTTTGTCGTCCGCCATTTCTTCCACAAACCACAACGCGACTCGACAAACATCACGTGACCGGCGGCGAGCAGGGCGGCCGCGCGGGAAATTCGAAACACGAACCTCCAAAACTGAAGAAAACGGTAGTACAAGAAGCGATTTGGTGGTACAAATTGAAGAAAACACTCTTGGTAATAAAATCTGGTTGAAATACAGCGGGAAACACTCGATAAACACGAAAAACAGTGTCTTTGAGTGGGGATTTTGACTAAACGTTACTAGGGATTTTTGCACCGTTTGAAACCTCTGTGTATTGTTGGTTGCATACCAGACACAAACACCAATTTTTATTTGAATTATTTTTTATTGAGTACAAATACTATTCCAATTCAGTTCATTTCGACATCGCTCGACTGAAACTTCAAACAAAACACCAACGTCATGGGGGTGGTGGCGTCCGCCACCATAATTTCGCTTCCATCCTTCAAACCCAGCTCCACCAAACTCTTGTTCAAATTGTCTCTGGTCCTCTCTTCAATACTCTTGATTGTGGAAATATACAGAGTTTTATTTTTCCCGCCCACGGTGGTTGTTAAACCGGGATTTTTCATCTGGTACGTCTCGTCTTCACACAACGTTTGAATTAAATCTTTGAGTTTCATTTTGGTGGCGTCGGGTATGAGCAAAGTCTGTGGGACTTGTGAACACACCACACAGTTGTCTTTTCTTTCAGCTGTGTAGGTGTAAGTGTAAATACCGTCGACGTCGTTGAAAACCATGTAGTTGTTAAGGGGTAAACAGCAACTGGTGGCGATTTTGAAGACCTACAATATTATATTATATGACATTAAATCCCGGTTTAATATTTATACCTCAGTTGCGCAGACTCCGGCTATCACGGCGTTCGTAGAAGCCACCGCTGGTATTATATTTTTGACAACACCCTGTACAAGCCGGTACGTCACCCCAGTAATATTAAATTGGGCCGCTCTTTCTAGAGATTTTTCATAAATCCAACCCACGTGTTGGGTATCATCGCCATCTAAAGCTGCATTAAATGGGTTTTCTTTAGGCCACATGACCACTTTGACGTACTCAATACAGTGTTCGGGCAAGCGCGGGGTGTTGGCGATTGTACATAACGGGTATGTGACTTGTGGGGGGTACAAATCTAGGGTGCACTCAACGCACGCGCTATTCCCAGGAACAATAACTCGAGCGTTACCTTTGAAACCTTCAGTACCTAAAAAATTCAAATTACAATAAAAAAATTATCACTACCATTGTGAGTTTAATACCCCCATCCACCAACGGTATAATCGTCGAATTATCCAACACCCCGTCTTCATAACACAACAACGACATAATCATCCCGTTTATCCACCTCCTAGCCACGATTGAATCCAACCCACACACAATAATATGAAAACTTCTATAAAACCCCTCGTCGTAGTCCTGGATCTTGCAAAAGTGAGGCGTCACTTGGCACCCCGGGATCCTCCTATTGATAAACTCAGCCGCCACTTTGGCCTTCGACTGTCCAATGTCTTTCTGTCTGAACAAAAACTGCCGGTTCAAATTAGACAAATCGATGGTGTCCATATCAATGACGTGTATCTGCTTGAACCCCATCAACGCCAAGTCTTTAAGCAACTCGCAGCCCAAGCCGCCGGCCCCCACGACCAAGATTTTGCACGAAGTTACTATAAAGTCCATGATTTCGGGCGAGGGCTCGAACTCGGGGTGGCAAAAGGGGCCCGGACGCTCGAGAATTTTGCGCAGGTGGGCCCATCGCTTCTGAGAGGGCTCTTGTGCTTCGGTCATCATGGGGCTGCTTTCCGGCTTTTGGGTTAAATTGGTTAAATGTCAACGTGGAAGTGGCTCCAGTGACGACGCGACCGTCTCTAGCGCACTTTTATTACTTTTATTGTGTGAAAATGGTGCGAACAGAGAACATAGTGCGAAAGTACTAATACTAAATGAACGAATGAGAGTTTTTGCTGTGTTTTTGTTTGTTTTTTGGAGTTCGAGGGGTTTGTAGCCACCGCGTCGCCGCAGCTGTCATTGGCTGTCATCCGTCAAACCGTAACGTCAGTTATCACAGGTGGTGACTTTGTGTATATTTGTGTTTTTTCACAAAAAAGTATTATTTGGTAGTTTTATTGAGCGGGATTAGCATGACCGGTGAAACCGAAGGGTCTGTGAACACAGGAAGCAGTCTGTTCCCCACAACCGGCGATAAATTAATTAATTTCGTCGATAATCGCTCGTGTAGCAAGCCTGCGAAGAGGGTGAGTATGGGGGCTGTCGGGGCGTTGTTGTAACCACACTCGTGGATATTTAAGGGTGCCAGCACAAACTAGACACACTTGAGTCGAATCAAGCATCATCAATTTAAATTACTACAAATAGAAAACTGTCTGATCTTGTTGGATGTAGTGAAAGCATGTAATGAGATATTATAGATTAATAAATCTCGCTTCATTAAGTGAAAGAAATCGCTTAATACTTGTCATTCGCGTTTCATTTAGATCGGACAGTATAAAGTATTAATTGAGTTTGACTTGAAACTACTGTTATTAAACGCAATTACGGGTGATGAGTACCCAAATTTAATACACAGATACGCATCTTGCAAGCTTGGCCGCTTTGAAAAACTTGTAAACCGTTTTAATAACCATGACACTATAGTTAGTGAATATGCATACAATGTGTGGTAATTATAATGATCCGGGTTTCTAATTTGCGCAATTGTGCATATGTGATGGTCAAATTTCAAAACAAGCGGTTTTGTCTTTCACTTGAAGATATCGTATTTAGTAGTTTTTACTTGCATTACAATATTATAGTCAAAGGATCAATAAATGTTCGTGTTAGTCTGTGTGTCTGCGTGCGGTCGTCATTAATACAGAACGAGTTGTTATAAATTCATAAACTCGTCATACATGTGGCTTAAAATCGACGATTATTTTATCCCGCACTTGTAATTATTGGCTTAGTGAAGTGATTTATAAATACTCATGATCTGATAAAAATTGATATCTAAAACCGTCGTCCTTGCGTTGTTTTTTCAAATGTAGGGTTGCCAAATTGAAAATCGAAGCTTTGAAACAGTGAAAACGTTGAGCTTATTTGTCGTAATTATACGTTATATCAAACAATGTCGAAAATGTTGTAAAAATTCTGTTAATTGCGGTAGTTCACGCTGAAGTAACCACATCAGTTCTGGCGGTTATGTACTGTTACACATTTTAAATTCAAAATAAGACTAGTTTACTTTCCATTTTACGTAAAAGTTTGTGTAAGTCGAAAATTTTAGTTTTATGGAAATTAAAATGTAATTGTTGTTGCGTAACGATTATTATTGTACAGCTCTTTATCGCACTTCACACATTCCGTTCGAAAATATGCTTGTGACGTCACAGTTAACTTAACTTAAGTAAGAAAAAAAAACGTAAGTACACGACGCACAGCTATATCTATCTGCACACAGTTTTCTATTTGAAAGTAAGTGCAAGTAAATTTATTTGATGGAGAAAGGGATGCGCTACCAATTATGACTAGTAGTCGTAGAAAATAAGTTTAATTAGTTCACTTGTTGAAAAGCACCTGTTCTGTGAAAACCGACTCGAGCACTCGTTTAGTAGATAGACAGCTTTCGGTGTGATTGATTGTTTACGAAGAATGTGCTTCTGACAGTGCACCGTTTTAGTTTTGTTTATTTATAGTTTTTTTTGCTTCCGTGTTTTTATCTTCCATGTTTTCCAGTCTTTATTGTGGTGGTGTCTTGCATGAAACGGCCTATGTCGGACGGGCCGATAATCACGACGCATATTTTAGCTCGGACATGACGATGACCAACTCGCAGGTAAGTCCGTAGAGGTGTAGATGGTCATCGCTTTGATGTAGATTTGCTGCTTTGTCTTGCTCACTAGAAATTTGTGTGAATAATTAATTGTGGTGGACGATTATCGTGATTTGCGGGGAAAATTCCCTTCTAATTGGTATCTAATCGGGATTAATCGCGTTTTTATTGCGGTGATTAAATGGACAAAGTGGGTCGACTTAAAAAAAATGGTTCGAAATGTTGAATCTCGAAACTATGATAAGACCAAGTGGATGAATTGTGGCGTTGACGTCACGATTGCGGCGCCAAAAACAAGGAAAAAATGGCTTTTTGTCCAAACTCATGATCTAATCGATATGATTGTGTTTAAAACAATCTTCTATGAGTTAAAATTATTTTTAAACTAAAAAAAATGTTTTGTTTTTGAAACGCTGTGTTTTTCGGGCAACCGTAATTATTAATAATTGTATATTACATTAGTCCGGGTGTAGTTATCAACACGTTATTATCGATTCATGTTTTATAATAATTTCTTTCGAAAAAAAAACTTCCGATAAATGAAATAATTGGTGGTTATGTAACGCACTATACACGAAATGAGTTTACAATTTTATAGTAACAGCCTTATTAGTAACTTCAACATCTGTCAAAGCCTGTACCAGAGTTTATTATTATACCCAAGGAGGTACCAACCCATCTACCAACTTTCCGAGATAAATCGTAAATTTTTTTCATTTCAAGTCAGATTTAGGTTTGTAGAGAAAAATCGATTTTTTTACTTTTCTTTTTTTTAATAGAAGTAGTCTTCATTTTACAACACGAAACTTAAAACATGTTTAAAATGGTAAATTTTTGTAGGGAAATATGGATTTTTGCAATCAAGCTCCGCCCCTCGAGCTGAAAAAGAATAAAAAAATCATTCCCATTGAGATGTTGGCGGGTGGGCGGGGCTTATATTTTGACTTTTTTCCCTCATGTAGGTACTCTTCTTTTCACGACAACTTAAAATATGTATTTTTGTGGAGAAAAATCGATTTTACCATTAAGCTCCGCCCCTCGGTCTGGCGACGAATGAAAAGTTCATCACAACTGAGATTAGGGTGGGTGGAGCTTATGTTTTACTTTTCTTTTTTTTTTTCTTAATAGAAGTAGTCTTCATTTTACAACACGAAACTTAAAACATGTTTCAAATGGTAATTTTTGGAGAGAATACAATTTACCATTTTAAACCTGTTTTTTCTCAGGTTTTGAAAAGTATGTATTTTAAGAAGCAAAAAAGGAAAATCTTTTGATTTCTGAATTTTTTGAATTGATTTCTAAATTTTTCGATATTTCGATTTTTTTGATTTGTCGATTTTTCAATTTTGGAATTTTTGAATTTTTCCTTGTTGGATTTTTCAATTTTTCAGTGTTTGGATTTTTCGGTTTTTCAGTTTTTAGTTTTTTTTTTCAATAATCCGACATTTCGTTTTTTTTCGATTCCTCGGTTTCTCAGTATTTCGGTTTCTCCATTTTTCAATTTCTCTAGTTTTCGATTTTTGATTTCTCGATTTTTGACTTTTCGATTTCCCAGTTTCAGAATTTTTCGATTTTCTTCAATTTCTCTGTTTCTCAATTTTCCGACATTTAAAATTTTCGAATTTGACTTCTCGTTTTGTGAGTTTCCAATTTATCGATTTTCCGGCGTTTCGATTTCTCGATTTTTCCACTTTTCAATCTCCCGATTATAGAAGTTTTTGATCTGTCGGTTTCTCAATTTTCCGACTTTTTGATTTCTGGTTTTTTGATTTTTTTCGAATTCTCAATTTTCTGGCTTTTCGATTTTTCGACGTTTCAATTTCCAGGTTACGGAATTTTTCGGTTTCACGGTTTGTCAATTTTCTAACTTTTCGGAAATTCGATTTTCAATTTTTCGAATTCTCAATTTTTTAACTTGGATTTCTCGATTTTTCGACTTTTCAATTTCTAAATTTCCCGACTTCGACTTTTCAATTCCTCAATTTTCCGCCTTTTCGATTTCTCGATTTTTGGCTTTTCGATTTCTCAGCTTCAGAATTTTTCGACTTTCTTCAATTTTTCGGTTGCTCAATTAACCAACTTTTCGATTTTTGGACTTTTCAATTTCTCAATTTCCCGACTTCGATTTTCCGATTTCTGAGTTTTTTGATTTTTTCGAATTCTCAATTTTCCGGCTTTTCGGTTTCTCGATTTTTCGACTTTTCAATTTGCCGATTACGGAATTTTTCGACTTCGATTTTTGGCTTTTCGATTTTTTAGCTTCAGAATTTTTCGATTTTCTTCAATTTCTAGGATTCTCAATTTTCCAACTTTTCGATTTTGAATTTTTCGAATTCTCAATTTTCCGACTTTTAGATTTTTCGACTTTTCGTTTTTTGACTTTTCAATTTCTCGACTTTTCAGTTTCCCGATTACAGAATTTTTCGATTTCATTTTTTGTCAGTTTTCTGACTTCGATTTTTCGACTTTCTGATTTCTCCTTTTTTGACTTTTTGAGATCTCGATTTTTTCATATTTTTCGATTTTTCGATTTGTGACTTCGATCTCCCGGTTTCAGAATTTTTCGATTTGCTTCAATTTCTCGGTTTCTAAATTTTACAACTTTTCGATTTTCAATTTTTCGACTTTTCAATTTCGCGATTACAGAATTTTTCGATTTCACAGTTTTTCAATTTCTCGATATCTGAGTTTTTGCATTTTTTTCAATTTCTCGGTTTTCCACTTTTCGATTTCTCGATTTTTCAACTTTTCGATTTCCCAGGTTCCGAATTTTTCGAATTTTTGATTTTTCGTTTTTCGGCTTTTCAATTTCTCGATTTTCCGCCATTTCAGTTTCCCGATTTTTCGACTTTTCGATCTCCCGATTACAAAAGTTTTCGATTTGTCGGTTTCTCAATTTTCTGACTTTTTGATTTTACCACTTTTTGATTTCCGGTTTTTTGACTTTTCGATTTCTCGATTTTTGAATTTTTAGATATTTCGATTTTTCAGTTTCTCCATTTTTCGACTTTTTGACTTTTCAATTTCCCGAATTTTCGATTTCTGAACTTTTCGACTTTTCCATTTCTGTGTTTTGAGTTTCTCAGTTTTCTAATTTTCGGCTTTCATGCCTCATTTTCTCGATTTTTCAGCTTTTCAGTTTTTCGACTTCAATTTCTACGACTTCCAGTTCTCGATCTCTGAATTTTTCGATATTTCGATTTTTCAATTTTTCGACTTCTTGAGATCTAGGTTTTTCGACTTCTCGTTTTCTCAAATTTTTGACTTCGAGGTCTTGATTTTTCAATTTTGCTATTTTTCAATTTTTTAGATTTTTTTCAATAATTCGACATTTCGATTTTTTCGATTCCTGGGTTACTCACTTTTCCTATTTCTCAATTTTTCGACTTCTTGATTTTTAGATTTTTCGACTTTTCGATTTCTCGATATTTCGTTTCCTCAATTTTTCAACTTCGATTTCTCGATTTTTCAATTTTACGATTTTTCAGTTATTCGATTTTTCAATTTCTGTTCCAGTTTTTCGAAGAATCCATTTTTCGATTCTTGATTTTTAAATTTCTCGATTTTTCGACTTTCGATTTTTCAGTTCCTCGGTTTTTCGATTTTTCAATTTTTTGATGTCTCAATTTTTCCACTTCTTGATTTCTAGATTTTTCGATTTCTCGGTTACTCATATTCTCAATTTTCTCACATTTTGTGATTTTTGGGTTTTGTGATTTTTTAATTTTTCTGTTCTTCTTTTTTACGATTTTCCGACTTTTCGATTTTTCAATTTTTCGACTTGTTTAAAATAGTATATTTTTGTATATGAATATGGATTTTGCAATTACGCTCCGCCCCTCAGTCTGACAACGAATGAAAAATTCATCACAAATGAGACTGGGGCGGGTGGGTGGGGCTTACTTTTGTACTTTTGTTTCCCTAACATATATAGGTTTTTTTTTTAATAACACGAAACTTAAACTTTACCGTTTATAACGGTAAATTTTTGTAGAGAAATAATCTATTTTACAATTAAGCTCCGCCCCTCAGTCTGAGGACGAATGAAGAGTTCATTACAACTGAGATTAGGGCGGGCGGGTGGGGCTTATGTTCTACTTTTTTTTTAATAGAAGTAGCGTCATTTCACAACAAGAAACTTAAAACATGTTTCAAATGATAAATTTTTGTAAGGAAATATGAATTTTGAAATTAAGCTCCTCCCCTCGGCTCAAAGCTCATCGCAGTTAAGATGGCGGTGGGTGGGCGGGACTTATATTTTATCTTTTGTTCTGAATATACATAGACGTCCTTTTACGACAAGAAAGTTAAAACATGTTTACAATGGTAAATTTTTGTAGAGAAATATCGATTTTACAATTAAGCTCTGCCTCTCGGTCGGACAACGAATGAACAATTCATTACAATTGAGGTTGGGGCGGGTGGGTGGGGCTTATTTTTTATTTGTTTAGCATATACAGTTTTTATTCAGTAACATGATAGTTACAAACACGTTTCACATGGTAGCTTCTAGGAGAGAAATAAATATTTTGCAATTAAGCTCCGCCCCTCGTCTCACGGCGAATAAAAAAATTCGTCAGTGTCCGCCGGTGGGCGGGGTTTGTATTTTGCCCTTTTTTTTCTTAATATATGTACGTAGTTTTCTATTCACGACAAGAAATTCAAAAGATCTTTAAAAATAAATTTAAATTTGTGGAGAAGTGTGGAGAATAAAATTTACCAGTTTTAAATATGTTTTCGGTCTTTTGTTTGAAGAGTATGTATATTAAGAAGAAAAGAAGGAAAATCTTAAGCCCGCCCACCCGCCCCGATCTCAATTGTGACGAATTCTTTATTCGTCGTCACACCGAGGGGCGGAGTTTAATTGCAAAATTCTTATTTTTCTACGAAAAATTACCATCTGAAACATGTTTTTAAGTATTGTGTTGTTGAAAAAAATCTGTATATATTAAGAAAAAAAACTCGATCGGTTTTTACTTTTTTTTTCCAATAATAATCCGACATTTCTCGGTTGCTCAATCTTTCGGTTTCTCCATTTTTCAATTTTTCTATCTTTCAGAATTTTTCGATTTTCAATTTTTTGAGTTGGATTTGTCGATTTTTCGACTTTTCAATTTCGAAATTTCCCGATTTCGATTTTTCAATTTCTTGAGTTTTTTGATATTTTTCGATTTCTCGGTTTCTCAATTTTCCGACTTTTCGATTTTCAATTTTTCGAATTCTCAGTATTTTGACTTGGATTTCTCGATTTTTCGACTCTTCAATTTCTAAATTTCCCAACTTCTATTTTTAATTTCTCAATTTCTGGGTTTTTTGATCTTTTTCGATTGCTGGGTTTCCCACTTCTCGTTTCCCAATTTTCCGGCTTTTCGTTTTCTCGACTTTTTGATTTTCCGTTTTTTGAAAAACTCGATCTTTCGTGTTCTCAATTTTTCAACTTGGATATTCCAATTTTTCGATTTTTCAATTTTTTTGAAGTCTCAATTTTTCGACTTGTTGATTTCAAAATTTTTCGAATTTTCGATTTCTCTGCTTTTGTTTACTCAATTTTTTAAACTTTGATTTTAGGATTTTTCAATTTTCTGAATTTTTGACTTTTCTATTTCAAAATTTTTCGATGTTTCGATTTTTTTTTGATTTCTCGATTTTTCGATTTTGCTGTTTTTGAATGTTTCCTTGTTGGATTTTTCAATTTGTCAGTGTTCAGGTTTTTCGGTTTTTACTTTTTTTTTCCAATAATCCGACATTTCGTGGTTTTTTTTTCGATTCTCGGTTGGTCAAAATTTCGGTTTCTCCATTTTTCAATTTTTCGACTTTCGATTTTTCAATTTTTCGATCATTTGATTTCTAGACTTTTCGACTCTTCGATTTCTCAATTTTCCGACTTGTTTAAAATAGTATATTTTGTAGGGAAATATGGATTTTGCGATTACGCTCCGCCCCTCAGTCTGACAACGAATGAAAAATTCATCACAATTGAGATTGGGGCGGGTGGGTGGGGCTCACTTTTGTTTCCCTAACATATATAGTTTTTTTTTTAATGACACAAGTATCGTGTTTCAAACGATAAATTTTTGTAGAGAAATAATTGATTTTGCAATTAAGCTCCGCCCCTCGGTCTGACTACTAATGAAGAGTTCATCACAACTGAGATTAGGGCGGGTGGGTGGGGCTTATATTTTACTTTTTTCTTTAATACAACTAGTGTTGATTTCACAACAAGAAATCTAAAACATGTTTCAAATGGTAAATTTTTTGGATGCATTTTGAAATTACGCTCCGCCCCTCGATCTGACAACGAATGAAAAATTAATCACAATTGAGATTGGGGCGGGTGGGTGGGGCTCACTTTTGTTTCCCTAACATATATAGTTTTTCTTTTAATAACACAAGTATCGTGTTTTAAACGGTAAATTTTTGTAGAGAAATAACTGATTTTGCAATTAAGCTCCGCCCCTCGGTCTGACTACGAATGAAGAGTTCATCATAACTGAGATTAGGACGGGTGGATGGTGCTTATATTTTACTTTTTTTTTTTTAATACAACTAGTGTTGATTTCACAACAAGAAATCTAAAACATGTTTCAAATGGTAAATTTTTTAGATGCATTTTGAAATTACGCTCCGCCCCTCGATCTGACAACGAATGAAAAATTCATCACAATTGAGATTGGGGCGGGTGGGTGGGGCTCACTTTTGTTTCCCTAACATATATAGTTTTTTTTTTAATGACACAAGTATCGTGTTTCAAACGGTAAATTTTTGTAGAGAAATAATTGATTTTGCAATTAAGCTCCGCCCCTCGGTCTGACTACGAATGAAGAGTTCATCACAACTGAGATTAGGGCGGGTGGGTGGTGCTTATATTTTACTTTTTTTTTTTAATACAGCTAGTGTTGATTTCACAACAAGAAATCTAAAACATGTTTCAAATGGTAAATTTTTTGGATGCATTTTGAAATTACGCTCCGCCCCTCGATCTGACAACGAATGAAAAATTCATCACAATTGAGATTGGGGCGGGTGGGTGGGGCTCACTTTTGTTTCCCTAACATATATAGTTTTTTTTAATGACACAAGTATCGTGTTTAAAACGGTAAATTTTTGTAGAGAAATAATTGATTTTGCAATTAAGCTCCGCCCCTCGGTCTGACTACGAATGAAGAGTTCATCACAACTGAGATTAGGGCGGGTGGGTGGGGCTTATATTTTACTTTTTTTAAATATAACTAGTGTTGATTTCACAACAAGAAATCTAAAACATGTTTCAAATGGTACATTTTTTGGATGCATTTTGAAATTACGCTCCGCCCCTCGATCTGACAACGAATGAAAAATTCATCACAATTGCTATAGGTGGGGCTTAATCTTTGGCTTTTTTATGTAATACACACAGTTTTCTTCAAATAACACATGTAGAAAAATAAGGGTTTTGCATCCATACCTGTCAAACTATTTTCCAAGATAAATCGTAACATTTTCTTGTCCATTTTGGATAAATTTCAAACCAGATTTAGAAGACAAATTCTTCTCAATTATTGAAAAAAGATAGCAGTTTGAAAAAATATAAAACCAGTCTAGTTTCAGCATTACATCACCTTTAGTTTTTTCGGAAGTGACGCCCACGAATTGGTTTATAAAATGCCACTTAGCGTTCATAACCTAGATATAATAACTCGGATAAGTTCTGATTTAGACACTGGGGGACCCAAATCCATTTCCCGTGTTTCGAGGCAGATTTTCTTCAACTTCACACATTGATAATTAAACTTCAAATGTCACAATTTGACATTTGTCGTACCAACCACTAAAAATTCCCCAAAACAAAGTACAAATACGCGTTTCATAAGACATTTTTGATAAACGTCAATTTTACTTTAAAATGCACAACTATCACACATATTAATCGTAACCTTGGATGGGTCTGGGGCACCTGATTATACCAGGTAAAGTGATAGTCACAATATTAATGCTGGAGGTGACTTTCATGTCTAAACCGTTTTACCAATTTCCTTCATCTTCAAGTCTGACATTTCTCGACAAAATTCCCCAAAATTAAAAATAAAAACCAACTTCGATTTCGAAATTTCATTCCTTGTATTATTCGCACACCTAATTATTTTTATGCTTGAAAGTATTGCAACCCAGTTCAACGCATTAATTAAATATTACTCATACGAGGAAGTGTTCATTTTTTACAAATTTATACATCGAACCCTGAGAACCGAATCCCAATGGGAATATTCTCATAGATTCAAGTACGCAATCGCTTGTAATAACCCAATAACTAACAAGATTTATCAGATTTCCTGTCACTCGAGCACAGCATTGCATAACCAACTCCGAACACCACTAAAATTACTAAAATTGTGGCTGCATTAGTCCAATAAACAGTAATTACGTAAAATTTAATAATTATTAGCAAGTGTAATAAAAGTACTGAGTCATAGCATCATAGGGGTCAACAGCGCGCGCTTATCTCGTGTTAAGTACCGCATACACATTCACCACTTATCTGTGGAATTGATAAGATATCCGCAACCTCCCAAATTGACATAATTCCAAATAACCGGAGTGAACAGATGTGATTGATTGTTCCACTTTGCTAAAGTACCGCCATGTCGAAGGTATCTACTTGTTTATTTACAACATTAACACTACTCACACGCATGCGATTTGTTTACTTTTCCGCGGTACGACTTAAACCATTAGAATGATCACCGCTTGCGGCCACCCATCCACTCTCCACCCCCCAAACCACGACCTCTTCACATTCGCATTTCCTCCAGGTGTGGTTCCGCGGTGTGCGCAGCTCCAAATTCCGCCACGTCTACGGAGAACCCGCCAAAAGAGAAAAATGCTACGACAACATCAACATCACCAAGAACGCCCACGACTCCCAGTTCTGCGCCGTCAACCCCAAGTTCGTCGCCTTGGTGACGGAGGTGGCCGGCGGTGGGGCGTTCATAGTCATACCCATCGAAAGCGTAAGTCCGTCTGATTCGGGAATGATTGATGATGATTTTAAAATCTTAAGACCGGGAGACTGGATTTTAACGCCAGTAGGGTGACGGGGCACACGGGACCGGTGTTGGACATCAAATGGAACCCCTTCAATGATAACATAATCGCGTCGTGCTCAGACGACTGCACGGTGAGTAGCAGCATTGTTTAAGTATATTATAGTTGGACAACCTAATACAAATTTTACTTCGCCTAAATAGTGAGCTTTAGGACAAGGAATCCAGGGGGCGTGGGACAAATTTTTCGTCAGCGCGCATTTTCACTACAGTGAGCTGGTATTAGGTTTATTTTACTCTAAATCAGATGGCGCCATCAAACATTAGCAAAGGCAAACACCCTTCACTCTGCTCTTATACGAGGAGTTATCCATAAATCCATAATTAACATTGTTCCGTAAACAGTAATGTGTATAAACATATATGTACAAAATATGAAAATATACTTGACATAAAAAATATGAAGCAACGCGTTGTAACGTGATAAGAAAGAATTGAATTTAAATGAATTTGACGCCTATTTTTATTTGACTATATCTGAAGACTGACAGAAACTTTCCAAGGGTTTTTAAACTGGTATAATTGTTTAGTTTTACAAGATTAAAGTAAAACAAGATTTTTAAGTAAAATTTAGATTCGTGGTGTTACAAAAATATTAACACAAAATGAAAATATATGTTCAAAGTAAATAACAGAATGACATAAACTTTCGGCGTTAACATTACAAATAATTACAAGAGAGAAAAAAACGCATAAAGAACTTAAGAGGCATGTTTGTAATATCGAGTTGTTAAAGGCTGCTTTGAAGACTGTTTGTTTCTATGAAAAACAATTGCTGTTATCGGACATTTTGGTAGATTTTGTTCCAAAAATACGAGATAACTAATTGTTTCTTGAACTAGTTTCCGTAACTTCTAAAATTTAAAAAGTATACGCCGTTCTGCTGTAATAAAATCTAGAATAAGGTCAAAATCACACTAATATTACATCTGATTTTGTTAACCACATGAATATAATTTACATTAAAATAAGTTACAGACATTGTTTGAAATGTTTATCATAGTTCCAAAACAAGATAAAATAAATAAATAAATAAATAAATAAATAAAATGTGTAGTTTATAAACTTCAGAATTTTTGTATAAAAATAATCAGCTTTATTTTGTCTGTTCCATTTTATTGGGTGTATTGGGCCCCTCTCGGGATATAACACCGACATCAGTGCACCGACCCAACGTTCTTCAACCGATGGGATGATTTATTACTTCCGTTATGCTGGCCCTACACAGAGCGATTTGGTTTTCGGATTTTCGGCTAGATCTGCACTTTTTGCACACAGAGTATTTTGTTCATGCCAGCATCAAAAATACTACGCCGAAGGCACTTCTTCAAGTGTTATTTTTTTTAAGATGTCATATTTGTCAGCGTTTCCAAAATTTTCTTCTTTGCACAGGTCAACTAATTTTTCGTAAACCACATTTTAAAATTTTTGTTATTGTATTTTTTAATTTTTAATTTTCTAAGGCATGAAAAAATCCCATATAGGTTTCTATGAATTTATTAACGAAATCAACTGATAACTTGCGCGCCATTTTTGTGTTAATTAACACCAATAGTGATTATGATAATTTTATAATTATCATTTTAATAAAATTGTGTTCTTCACTTCGCGAACGACAGCAAACAATTTAAAATTACCGCTAGTCAAGCACCTGAAAATCCATCTCTCCCAAATATGTCTTTCTTGGCACGATTTGTAATCCGAAGTCTCCCTCCACATGCAATTTTTCGTCGCCTGAGAACTTGTTTGATCTACAGACCAAAGCACACTCAGGCCAATATCGGCTGTAAGCGATTTATCTATAAACCGATATTCGTTAGAGTTGATGTGATACACATCCACTACGAAGAACTAACCCATTTTGACCATTGGACTTTACAACGAATAAGTGAATAAAGTTCTTGAACATCTTAACGATTTAATACATAATGTTCCCGAATGACAAAATTTACATTTCAAATTGTATTATCAAATTACACTTTCTAAAATATGTCACGAACAATGAAATGACGCAATCTCCAAATTTTACAATAGTAAAATTGTAGTTTCGCCCCGTTTACGGTTTATGCATCCGTGTCGAGTTTTCACCTTAGACGTCAAGATTTTTGGAAAAAAAAAATCAACATTTTCCAATTTATAATGTTATGTATTTAAATTTTAAAAAGTAGAATAGTCCTGATCTTGTGATTTATACCTAAATACGCTATTGGGATTTTTCGGCTTGTCGATTTCTCGATTTTTCAACTTTAAATGTCTCAATTTTTCAATATTTCAATTTTGGGCTTTTCCGATTCCTCCATTCCTTAAATTTTCTATTTCTCGATTTTTTTATTTTTCGATTTCTCAATCTTACGATGTTTCAATGATACGATTTCTCAATTTTTGTCCTCTTCAATTTTACGGTTTTTAAATATTTCGATTTTTCAATTTTTCAAATTTTCACGTTTCTAAATTTTCAGTTTGCCGATTTCTAAAGTATTTTTTTTATTTGTCCATTTCTGGATTTCCTAAAGTTTCGATTTTTCACATCTTCAATTCCTCAATTTTTCGATTTTTTAAGATTACGATTTTTCAATTTTGCTTTTTTAGATTTTCGATTTCCCAATTTTCCAATTTTTTAATTTCTCAATTTTTTGAATATTTCTTTCAGTTGAGATTTTTCAATATTTCAATTTTTCGACTTTTCGATTTTTGAATTGATGGATTTTTTTTGATTTCTCGCTTTTTTCCTTTTTGGATTTTCAATTTATTGTAAACTTTAGATTTTTCAATTCTGGGACTGTTTAATGCTTCGATTTCTCAATTTTTAAACTTTTCGATGTTTTAATATTTCATTTTTTAAAATTCTAGGTTTTTCGATATCTCGAGTTTTTAGTTCTTCTATATTTCAATTTTTCGATTTTTTGAATTTTAATTTTCGATTTTCCAGTTTTTCTTTTTTAAAATTTTTCGATTATTCAATTTTTTAATTTCTCAATTTATCGAATTCAGGTGTTTCGTTGTTTTGATTGTTCAATTTCTCAATTTTTCAATTTTTAACTTTCCTTTTCGGCTTCCGACTCCTCAATTTCTCGATCCTCCGATTTTTAGATTTCTCGAAGTCTGAGTTTTTGAATTTTTCGATGTTTCGATTTTTGGATTTCTCGGTTTTTCGATTTTTTTCTTTTGAGCTTTTCAATTTCTGGATTTTCCAATTTTTCAACGCCCTGATTTTTCAATTTTTCAAATTGAATTGGATTTCTCGATTCTTCAATTTTGCGATATTTTAATTATTCCTTGTTTTAAATTTTAGTTTTTCCGATTTCTTGATTTTTTGACTTTTCAGTTCTTCAGTATTTAAATTTTTCAATTTTTCAAATTTTTGCGTTAAATTTTCAGTTTTCTGATTTCTCAATTAATCTTTTTTTTTTTTCTCAATTTTTCAGTTTTTTAAGTTCCCAATTTTTGAATATTTCTTTCAGTTTTGGGATTTTCCAATATTTTGATTCTCCGACTTTTCGATTTTTCGACTTTCAGTTTTTCAATTCTTTGATTTTTCGATTTTTCAATTTTCCAGTTTTTTAATATCTCAATTTTTTGATGTTTCTTTTAGTTATGGGATTTTCCGATATTTTCATTCTCTGACTTTTCGATTTTTCGACTTCCGGATTTTTCAATTTTTTATTTTTTGGATTTTCAGTTTTTTCGTTTTTTAAACTTTAGATTTTTCAATTTTTCGACTGTTTCATATTTCGATTTCTCAATTTTTCAATTTTCCGATATTTTAATTTTTCAATTGTCCGAATTTTTAAATTTTCGATTTTTCCATTTTTTGAGATCTCGATTTATCAATTTTTCGATTTGTAACTTTTGAATTTTTCGATCTTGGCCTATTTCGGTTTCTTGTTTTTTTTTTCGATGTTTTAACTTCTCGACTTTTCGACTCCTCGATTTCTCGATTTTTTGATGTTTCAGTTTTTGAATTTTTCGATGATTCGATTTTTCGATTTTTGAATTATCCGATTTTTCAATTTTTCAATTTTTTTCACTTTCGAGTTTCGATTTCTCGATTTGTTGATCTTTCAGTTTTTCGATTTTTAAATTTTGGATTTTCGAAATTTTATTTTTTTGATTTTTTGATGTTTGGATTTCCCCATTTTTCAATTTTACGATATTTTAATTTTTCAGTGTTTTAAATTTTAGATTTTTCAGGTCTTCAGAATGTACTTTAATTTTTCAAATTTTGACGTTTCCGAATTTTCAGTTTTCCGCTTTCCCAATTAATCTATTTTTTGATTTTCCCATTTCTCGATTTTCCCAAGTTTCGATTTTTCAGTGTTTTTGATTCTTCATTTTTTCGATTTTTTAAGTTTGCGATTTTTCGACTTTCCTTTTTTGGCTTTTCCAATTTTTCAATTTATTAATTTCCCAATTTTTGGATATTTTGTGTGATACATTTTTCGATATTTCAGTTTTGGGATTTTTTTAGTATTTCGACTTTTCGAGTTCCGGATTTTTCGATTTTTCGACTTTTTACTTTTTGGATTTTCAATTTTTCAATTTTTCAAGTTTTCAATTTTTAAAATTTCGATTTCGCGATTTTCAGTTCTTCTATACATATTTCAATTTTTCAGTTTTCCAAATTTTTTAAATTTTTTATTTTTCCAATCTTTCTTTTTTAAAATTTTCCGATTTTTCAATTTTCTGATTTCTCGATTTATCGAATTTAGATGTTTCGACATTTTGATTGTTCAATTTCTCGATTTATTAATTTTTCAATTATTAACTTTTCTTCTAGACTTTCCACTCCTCGATTGCTCGATCCTCTGATTTTTCGATTTCTCTCCATCATCATCTCAGTTTTTAAATTTTTCGATGTTTCGATTTTTCAGTTACGCGATTTTTTAATTTTTCAATTCTTTAAATTCTGGAGTTTGGATTTCCCGATTTCGCGATTTTTTAGTTTTTCGATTTTTAAATTTTAGATTTTCGAAATTTTATTTTTTGAGTTTTTGATGTTTTAAATTTTAGATTTTTCGATTCTAGTTCTTCGGTATTTTTATTTTTCAATTTTTCAAATTTTGACGTTGCTAAATTTTCAGTTTTCCGATTTCTCAATAAATCTATTTTTGATTTTCTCATTTCTCGACTTCTCGAAGTTTAGACTTTTTAGTTCTTCAATTCTTTGATTTTTCCACTTTGCTTTTTTGATTTTTCGATTTCTAAATTTTCCAGCTTTTCAATTTCTCAATTTTTGGATATTTCTCTCAGGTGTGGGATTTTCCAATATTTTGATTCTCTGACTTTTCGATTTTTAGATTTTTTATTTTTTGGATTTTCAGTTTTTTAAACTTTGGATTTTTCAATTATTCGACTGTTTTATATTTCGATTTCTCAAATTTTCAACTTTTCGATATTTAATTTTTAAAATTCTATATTTTTCAATTTCTCGAGTTTTCAGTTCTTCTGTGTTTTAATTTTTCAATTGTCCGAATTTTTAAATTTTCGAATTTTCAATTTTTTGAGATCTCGACTTATCAATTTTTCCATTTTTAACTTTTCGATTTTGGCCTATTTCAGTTTCTTGGTTTTTCGATGTTTCGACTTCTCGACTTTCGCTCCTTGATTTCTCGATTTTTTGATTTGTCGGTTTTTCCATTTTTTACTTTTTGGCTTTCCGATTTTTCCATGTTTCGATTTTTGAATTATCCGATTTTTCAATTTTCCAGTTTTTTAAATTTTCGAGTTTCGTTTTCTTGATTTGTTGATATTTCCGTTTTTCGATTTTTAAATTTTAGATTTTCGAATTTTTATTTTTCCCACTTCTCAAAGTTTCGATTTTTCAGTTCTTCAATTCTTCGATTTTTCGACTTCGCTTTATTGGTTTGTCGATTTCTCAATTTTTGGATATTTCTTTCAGTTTTGATAATTTTCAATACTTCGATTCTTTCATTTTTCGACTTCTAGATTTTTCTATTTTTAATTTTTGGATTTTCAGTTTTTTGTTTTTTATTTCAATTTCTCAATTTTTCAACTTTTCCATATTTTAATTTTTAAATTTCTAGATTTTTCGGTTTCTCGAGTTTCCAGTTCTATATTTTAATTTTTTAAATTTCCGAATTTTTAATTTTTTTGAGATCTCAATTTATTGAGATTCGGATGTTTCGATGTTTTGATTATTCAATCTCTCGCTTTATCAATTTTTCCATATTTAAGTTTTCGATTTTTCGATTTTGGCCTATTTCGGTTTCTCAATTTTTTGATTTTTCGACTCCTCGATTTTTTTGTCTTTTGATTTTTCGATTTCTCGATGTCTCAATTTTTGAATTTTACAATGTTTCGATTTTTCGATTTTTTGCTTTTCGGTTTCTCGATTTTTCGATGTTTCGATTTTTGATTTATCCGATTTTTCAATTGTCCAATTTTTTAAATTCTCGACTTCTCGATTCGTTGATTTTTCAGTTTTTCGATTATTAAATTTTAGATTTTTATTTTTGATTTTTTGATGTTTGGATTTCTCCATTTTTCAGTTTTAGGATATTTTAACTTTTCAATTTTTTAAATTTTAGATTTTTCGATTTTTTAGTTCTTCATTATTTTTTATTTTTCAAATTTTGACGTTTCTGAATTTTTAGTTTTCGGATTTCTCAATTAATCTATTTTTTTTATATTCCCATTTCTCCACTTCCTAAAGTTTCGATTTTTCAGTTCTTCAGTTCTTCAATTTTTCGATTATTCAGGTTTTTAATTTTTCAATTTTTCGATTTTTTAAGTTTGCGATTTTTAGACTCTTTTTTTTTTTTGACTTTTTTGTTTCTCAATTTTTTAATTTCTTATTTTTTTGATATTTCGTTCAATTTTGTGATTTTTCAGTTTTTCGATTTCTCAATTTTAACTTTTCAATTGTTGAAATTATTAATTTTTTTCGATTTTTTGAGTTTTCAGTTCTCTATATTTCAATTTTTCAATTTTCGGAATTTTTAAATTTTCGATTGTCCAATTTTTTTTTATTTTTCGTTTTTCCAATTTTTCGATGTTTCGATTTTTGAATTGATGGATTTTTTTTGATTTCTCGGTTTTTTACTTTTTGGATTTTCAATTTATTGTAAACTTTAGATTTTTCAATTCTGGGACTGTTTAATGCTTCGATTTCTCAATTTTTAAACTTTTCGATGTTTTAATATTTCATTTTTTAAAATTCTAGGTTTTTCGATATCTCGAGTTTTCAGTTCTTCTATATTTCAATTTTTCAATTTTTCGATTTTTTGAATTTTAATTTTCGATTTTCCAGTTTTTCTTTTTTAAAATTTTTCGATTATTCAATTTTTTAATTTCTCAATTTATCGAATTCAGATGTTTCGTTGTTTTGATTGTTCAATTTCTCAATTTTTCAATTTTTAACTTTCCTTTTCGGCTTCCGACTCCTCAATTTCTCGGTCCTCCGATTTTTAGATTTCTGGAAGTCTCAATTTTTGAATTTTTCGATGTTTCGATTTTTGGATTTCTCGGTTTTTCGATTTTTTTCTTTTGAGCTTTTCAATTTCTGGATTTTCCAATTTTTCAATGCCCCGATTTTTTAATTTTTCAAATTGAATTGGATCTCTCGATTCTTCAATTTTGCGATATTTTAATTATTCATTGTTTTAAATTTTAGTTTTTTCGATTTCTCGATTTTTTGACTTTTCAGTTCTTCAGTATTTAAATTTTTGAATTTTTCAAATTTTTGCGTTAAATTTTCAGTTTTCTGATTTCTCAATTAATCTATTTTTGATTTTTCCACTTCTCAAAGTTTCGATTTTTCAGTTTTTCAATTCTTCGATTTTTCGACTTCGCTTTATTGGTTTGTCGATTTCTCAATTTTTGGATATTTCTTTCAGTTTTGATATTTTTCAATACTTCGATTCTTTCATTTTTCGACTTCTAGATTTTTCTATTTTTTATTTTTGGATTTTCAGTTTTTTGTTTTTTATTTCAATTTCTCAATTTTTCAACTTTTTCATATTTTAATTTTTAAATTTCTAGATTTTTCGGTTTCTCGAGTTTCCAGTTCTATATTTTAATTTTTTAAATTTCCATATTTTTAAATTTTTTGAGATCTCAATTCATTGAGATTCGGATGTTTCGATGTTTTGATTATTCAATTTCTCGCTTTATCAATTTTTCCATATTTAAGTTTTCGAATTTTCGATTTTGGCCTACTTCGGTTTCTCAATTTTTTGATTTTTCGACTTCTCGATTTTTCGACTCCTCGATTTTTTTTTGTCTTTTGATTTTTCGATTTCTCGATGTCTTATTTTTGAATTTTACAATGTTTCGATTTTTCGATTTGTTGGTTTTTAGATTTTTTGCTTTTCGGTTTCTCGATTTTTCGATGTTTCGATTTTTGATTTATCCGATTTTTCAATTGTCCAATTTTTTAAATTCTCGACTTCTCGATTCGTTGATTTTTCAGTTTTTCGATTATTAAATTTTAGATTTTTATTTTTTTTTATTTTTTGATGTTTGGATTTCTCCATTTTTCAGTTTTAGGATATTTTAACTTTTCAATGTTTTAAATTTTAGATTTTTCGATTTTTCAGTTCTTCAATATTTTTTTATTTTTCAAATTTTGACGTTTCTGAATTTTTAGTTTTCGGATTTCTCAATTAATCTATTTTTTTATATTCCCATTTCTCCACTTCCTAAAGTTTCGATTTTTCAGTTCTTCAGTTCTTCAATTTTTCGATTATTCAGGTTTTTAATTTTTCAATTTTTCGATTTTTTAAGTTTGCGATTTTTAGACTCTTTTTTTTGACTTTTTTGTTTCTCAATTTTTTAATTTCCTAATTTTTTGATATTTCGTTCAATTTTGTGATTTTTCAGTTTTTCGATTTCTCAATTTTAACTTTTCAATTTTTGAAATTATTAATTTTTTTTTGATTTTTTGAGTTTTCAGTTCTCTATATTTCAATTTTTCTATTTTCGGAATTTTTAAATTTTCGATTGTCCAATTTTTTTTTATTTTTCGATTTTCCAATTTTTCGATGTTTCGATTTTTGAATTAACCGATTGTTCAATTTCTCGATTTTTTAATTTTAGATTTTCCAATTTTTTTTTTGATTTTTTTATGTTTCGATTTCTCGATTTTACAATTTTCCCATATTTGAATTTTTCAGTGTTTTAAATTTTCGATTTCGAGGATTTACTGTGTCACAGTAGTCATCAGTCATTACTCATCAAGAACGATTATTGCTGTGCGTTAAAATGCCTACATACTGATAAGTACTTACATACAAGACACATTTAAGGCTGTTTTAAGTCTGCTAGATATAATTTTTGCAATTTTAAATTTATTTCTTGATGTCTAAATCGTATGTATTTAAATGGTGATGAATATTTTGTGATACAATCTTAGGATAAAATGCATTTTAGTTTCAAAGATAATATGTATTTAATGATTTGACTACTGTTAATAAAAAAAATACGTAAGAAGATGTTCATATTGAATTAATTTGGTGTTCATAGTTTGATGATAACCCATAGTTATTCTGGAGGCAAATTAGATGACTTGTTATTTATTAATTAAAGTAGTGGTCGTTTAATTTCGTACCTTTAAAGTCGACGAAGGGACGCATATTTGTTAACCATGCAGTTCATGGATAATAGGTATACCGCGATAATATTAAATTTTTGTTACCTTAACCTTGAAACAGGTATGCACTACATATACATATATTACAGTAAAGTTTTCAACACGTACGTTTACTACCTTATCGACATCACGTGCTTACGGACTATTTTTACCCCCTTTCGTAAGGTACCGCCACTTCATAGTGAAGCGAGTGAGATGTAAAATATATATTCATTCTTTTCTACATGGGAAAGTGATTGTCCGTATACGTTGCCCAACTATAATATACTTAAACAATGGTAGCAGCGAAAGCTTGCTGACGTCACGACACAAAAACGAGCTCGGGTTGTAGATCAAGTTGTGGCACATTCCGGACGGGGGGTTGTCGATGCACTTGACGGACTGGCTGGTGGAGCTGCAAGGACACAAGAGACGAGTGGCATACATCGAGTGGCACCCGAGCGCCGAAAATATACTCTTCAGCGCCGGGTTCGACCACCTGGTGATCATCTGGGACATCGAAAAGGGTGAAACCGCCAACGTGATCGACTGCCACCCGGACGTGATCTACTCGATGTCCTTGAACCGTGACGGGAGTCTCTTGGCGACGACGTGCAAAGACAAGAAACTGCGAGTAATCGAACCCAGGAGTGGCATTGTCAAAAGTGTAATTAACCTAAAAAACTTAGAAAAATTCGTTTTGAGACGATTGATTCCAGGAGGGGGTTTGTCACTCGGGCTCCAAAGCCAGTAAGGCCACCTTCTTGGGGGCTAGCGGTCGCCTCCTTACCACGGGGTTTTCGCGCCACTCCGACCGCCAGTACTCCATCTGGGACCAGAACGACCTAAGCAAGCCCCTCAGCACCGACACGATTGACAGTTCTTCGGGGGTGGTCTTCCCGTTCTACGACAGCGACACCAATATTGTGTTCCTCGCGGGCAAGGGCGACGGGAACATCAGGTACTACGAGATCACCGCCGAGCCCCCGTATATCCATTTCCTGAGTCAGTTCCTCTCGGGGAACCCCCAGGTGAGTGCGACTTTGCTAATGCGCGCACCACTGACTGTCGTTTCAGCGCGGGCTGGGTTTCATGCCAAAGCGTGGTCTCAACATCCACACCTGCGAGATTTTCCGCTTCTATAAGTTGCACGCGATCAAGGGGCTGTGTGAGCCGATCGGGATGATCGTGCCGAGGAAGAGCGACCAGTTTCATGAGGATTTGTACCCGGATACGGCGGCACCGAAGCCGGCCCTGTCGGCGCAGGAGTGGATCAAGGGACTGAATGCCAATCCGGTGTTGATGTCGATGAAGACGGGGGTTAGTGTGACGACGTACAAGCCTAGGGTTTATAAACCGAGTGCACCTGCTGTGGCTTCACAGAATAATAAGATGAAGTTCGCGTTTTTGTCGACGGAGACGATTCCGGATTATAGGCCCAAGGATTTGATCGAAGAGAAGAATAAGAAGACGACGACTAATCAGACAACGAAGTTTCAGCAGCTGCAGCAGAGGTTCGGACATGTGGAGGTGGTGAATAGTGATATTCCGCTGATGAAGGAGATTAATAGTATTGGGGATAATATCAGCACGGAGCATGACGTAAGTATTTCAGAATTTAAATGATATTGTATTTAAAAAAAAAAATTTTTTTCGTCTCCCATTTTTCTTAATTACTTCAAAATTGCTCAAAACACTCAAATTTTTCAATTTTTCTTGTTTAAAAATTTATAATTAAAAATGGATTCGGGATGTTGGCCAGATTTTCTATTTATAATGTAATTGAAAAAAAAAAAAAAAATCAGGACACAATTTTCCGACTTTTCGATTTAGATTTTTTCGGCTTCTTAATTTGTCGACCTTCCTATTTTTCGATCTTTTGATTTCTAATTTTTTCAACATTTGAATTTTTTACAATTCTCTATTTTCGGTTTCTCAATTTTTCGATTTTTTTTTTATTTCGTGGTTTCCAGACTTCGATTTCTCTGTTTCTCGATTTTTCCATCTCTCGATTTTCCCGATTTCAGAGTTTTTCGATTTTTCGCTTTCTCATTTTTTTTTTACTTTTTTACGATTTTTTGATTTCTCGTTTTTTAACTTTTCAATGAATTTTTCGACATTTCGATTTCTTAATTTTTCGATTTTTCAGTTTCTCAATTTTCCGACTGTTTGTTTTCCCGATTTCTGATTTTTTCGATATTTGGATGTTCGAATTTTAAATTTTTTGACTTTGATTTCTAAAATTCCCGACTACGCTTTTCCAATTTCTTAATTTTCCGACTTTTCGATTTTTCGAATTTTCAATTTCTCAATGTCTTGAGTTTTTTGATCTTTTTCGATTTTTTTCTCGGTTTCTTATTTTTCGATTTCTCCATGTTCCGGATTTTCGATGTCTCTATTTTTGACTTTTCGATTTCCCATTTCAGAATTTTTCGATTTTCAATTTTTTGAGTTAGATTTGTCGATATTTCGACTTTTCAAATTCGAAATTTCCCGATTACGATTTTTCAATTTCTCGAGTTTTTTGATCTTTTTCGATTTCTCGGTTTGTCAATTTTCCGACTTCGATTTTCAATTTTTCGAATTCTGAGTATTTTGACTTCGATTCTTCGATTTTCCGATTTCTGAGTTTTTCGATTTTTTTTGAATTCTCAATTTTTCGACTGTTCCATTCCTCGATTTTTCAACTTTTCAATTTGCCGATTACGGAATTTTTCGATTTTATGGTTTCTCAATTTTGCGGCTTTTCGATTTCCCAGATTCTGATTTTTTCGATTTTTTTCCATTTCTCCGTTTCTCAAAATTCCGACATTTCAAATTTTCGAAATTTTGATTTCTCGTTTTTTGAGTTTTCAATTTATCGATTTTCCGGCATTTTGATTTGTCGGTTTCTTCAAATTTCCAACTTTTTGATTTCCCGTTTTTTGACTTTTCCGATTTCTGAGTTTTTCGATATTTCGACTTTTTGATTTCTCGTCTTTGACCTTTTGATTTCTCGATTTCTGAATTTTTCGGCATTTTGATTTTGCAGTTTCTCCATTTGTCGACTTTCCGATTTTTCAGTTTTGTCATCTTTTTCGATTTCTCGATTTCCCAGTTTCAGGATTTTTCGATTTTTTTCAATTTGTCGGTTTTCTAATTTTCCGACTTCGATTTCCCGTTTTTTGACTTTTCAATTTCCCAATTCGATCCTTCACTTTTCCGATTTCTTCACTTTTGATTTTTTTCGAATTCTCAATTTTCCGGCTTTTCGATTTCTCGATTTTTCAACATTTCAATTTGCCGATTAGGGAATTTTTCGAATTCATGGTTTCTCAATTTTTCGGCTTTCTGATTTCTCGATTTCTGAATTTTTCGGTATTTCGATTTTGTAGTTTCTCCATTTTTCGACTTGCCGATTTTTCAATTTCCCGATTTGTGAGATTTTTGATCTTTTTCGATTTCTCGAGTTTTCGACTTTTTGATTTCCCGTTTTTTGACTTTTCAGTTTCTCAATTTTCCGATTTCGGTTCTTCGACTTTCCGATTTCTGAGTTTTTCGATTTTTTGAATTCTCAATTTTTTAACTTGGATTTCTCGATTTTTCTATTTTTAAATTTCCCGACTTCGATTTTTCAATTTCTCAATTTCTGAGTTTTTTGATCTTTTTCGATTGCTCGGTTTCGCACTTTTCGGCTTCTCAATTTTCAGGCTTTTCGATTTCTCGATTTTCGACTTTTCGATTTTCCAGTTTCAGAATTTTTCCATTTTCTTCAATTCCAACTTTTCAATTTTTCGAAAATTTCGATTTTCACTTTGTTGGTTTGGATTTCTTGATTTTTCGAGGTTTAATTTCCAAATTTCCCGACTTCGATTTTTCAGTTTCTCAATTTCTGAGTGTTTTGATCTTTTTCGATTTCTCGATTTCCCATTTTTCGATTTCACAGTTTCAGAATTTTTCGATTTTCTTCAGTTTCTCGGTTTATCAATTTTCCAACTTTTCAATTTTCGAATTCTCAATTTTTGACTTGGATTTTCCGATTTTTCGACTCTTCAATTTTTAAATTTCCCAACATCGACTTTTAATTTCTCAATTTCTGAGCTTTTTTGATTTTTTTCGATTTCTCAATTTTCCGGCTTTTCAATTTCTCGACTTTTTGATTTCTGGTTTTTGACTTTTCAATTTCTCAATTTCCCGGCTTTGATTCTTCGATTTTCCCATTTCTGAGTTTTTCGATTTTTTTCGAGTTCTCAATTTCCCGGCTTTTCGATTTTTCAATTTTCTAACTTTTCGATTTTCAATTTTTTGAATTCTCAATTTTTTAACTTGGATTTCTCGATTTTTCGATTTTTCTATTTTTAAATTTCCCGACTTCAATTTTTCAATTTCTCAATTTCTGGGTGTTTTGATCTTTTTCGATTTCTCGATTTCCCACTTTTCGATTTCACAGTTTCAGAATTTTTCGATTTTCTTCAGTTTCTCGGTTTATCAATTTTCCAACTTTTCAATTTTCAAATTCTCAATTTTTGACTTGGATTTCCCGATTTTTGACTCTTCAATTTTTAAATTTCCCAACTTCGGTTTTTAATTTCTCAATTTCTGAGTTTTTTTTTTTATTTTTTTCGATGTCTCAATTTACCGTCAATTCGATTTCTCGATTTTTTTCAATTTCTCGATTTCTCAATTTACCAACTTTTCGATTTTTCAATTTTTCGACTTTTCATTTTCTCAATTTCCCGGCTTTTCGATTTCTCGATTTTTGACTTTTCGATTTTCAATTTTTTGAATTCTCAATTTTTTAACTTGGATTTCTCGATTTTTCGATTTTTCTAATTTAAATTTCCCGACTTTGATTTTTCAATTTCTCAATTTCTGAGTTTTTTGATCTTTTTCGATTTCTCGATTTTCGACTTTTCGATTTTCCATTTTCAGAATTTTTTCATTTTCTTCAATTCCAACTTTTCAATTTTTCGAAAATTTCGATTTTCAGTTTTTTGATTTGGATTTCTTGATTTTTCGACTTTTAATTTCCAAATTTCCCGACTTCGATTTTTCAGTTTCTCAATTTCCGAGTGTTTTGATCTTTTTCGATTTTCTTCAGTTTCTCGGTTTATCAATTTTTCCAACTTTTCAATTTTCGAATTCTCAATTTTTGACTTGGATTTTCCGATTTTTCGACTCTTCAATTTCTAAAATTCCCAACTTCGGTTTTTAATTTCTCAATTTCTAAGTTTTTTTTTTATTTTTTTCGATTTCTCAATTTGTCGGCGTTTCGATTTCTCGATTTTTTTCAATTTCTCGATTTCTCAATTTACCAACTGTTCGATTTTTCAAGTTTTCGACTTTTCATTTCCTCAATTTTCCGACTTTGATTCTTCGATTTTCCGATTCCTGAGTTTTTCGATTTTTTCAGAATTCTCAATTTTCCGGCTTTTCGATTTTTATACTTTTCAATTTCCCAATTACGGAATGTTTGGATTTCATGGTTTCTCAATTTTCCGGCTTTTCGATTTTTCGACTTTCCGATTTTTCAGTTTCCCACGTTTCGATTTTCTTCAATTTTCCAACTTTCCGATTTTCAATTTTTCGAATTCTCAATTTTTTGAGTTGGATTTCTCGATTTTTCAACGTTTCAATTTGTTCTATTTTTTTTTTCTTAATTTCTGAGTTTCTTTTATCTTTTTCGATTTCTCGATTTCCCGTATTTTGAGTTTTCGATTCTTCGATTTTCCGAGTTTTTCGGTTTTTTTTTTCGAATTCTCAATTTTCCGACTTTTTGATTTCTCGTTTTTTGACTTTTGTATTTCCCGATTTCTGAATTTTTCGATTTTTCGGTTTCTTCATTTTTCGACTTTTCAATTTCTGTGTTTGAATTTCTCAGTTTTTGTACCTTTCGACTTTCACTTTTCATTTTCTGGATCTTTGAATATTTCGACTTTGGTACTTTTATATTCCTCGTTTTTTTGATTTTTCAATTTTTAGACTTTTTAGTTTCTTCATTTTTCGTACTTCCTGTTTTGAAAATTTCGATTTCGCGGTTTTTCAACTTTTTTTTCAATTTCTCAACTTTTCGAGTTTCAGATTTTTCAGTCCTTTGCGACTTCTCTGTTTTTCAATTTTCCGACTTTTCGGTTTCTTAAACTTTTCCCGAGTTTTTAATTTCTCCTTTTTTTCAGTGTCTCAATTTTTCTATCCTTCGGTTTCTCACTTTTCCAACTTTCCGATTTCTCAATTTTCGTTTTCAACTTTTCGATTTTTGGTTTCTCAATTTTTCGTTATTTCAAATTATCAAAATTTCGGTTTTGCGATTTTTCAGTTTTTCGAGTTTTTAATTTCAGGAGATGCCCCAAAATTTTCGTTTTGAAGTTTTGTCTTATTTTTTATTCTTTCAGTGCATTTACTTATTTCAGAATTGATTTTTTTTTTAAATTAAAAATGAAAAAAATCGATAAAAAAACTTTCTTAATAGATTTGTGATAAAAACTGTCGTTTTTCAGCACCAAAATTTTATGCGGGTGCGACTAAACCATCTTCACACTACACCAAAGTCCTAAATTTTTTTTAATTTGTTTTAGTTGAAACAGGCGTACAAACAACAATCCGAAGAACTGCGAAAAGTGAAGAAGCAACTCGCCCACAGCGAACGAAGAGTAAAGGAGCTGGAAGAACTGATAAAGATACTGCAAAACAAGTAATTTCCCCTAGTATACTTTCGTTAGGTGTAATTATGTTAAATCGTTACCATTTAAGCTAATTTTATACATTTACGTTAGTTTTGTGATAATGTTATTGTCTCGTTTTATTTTTGAACGTATCATGAAACGACAAGTTGTAAAACTTGTCCCGATGAATCAAAAAGCTCAATCGCTACCTACACTGTTGAATGCTTTTTCATTCACGTTTCTTGTTAAAAGTTGCTACAGTTTATTTAAATACTATTTTTGCAGCCAAATCAGTATTTTAATAGTGTCTGTGTAGCTTTTGTATTTAGATTAACATACGCACAACAGTATTACTTAAGTCACAATAGCTTTATTGTAAACTACAGTCAGACTTTACATATTATAACAGTTCAAACAAACAGAGCGTTGCTTACAGAAGTTCATTCAACAGGTTAGCTTAAGAAGGTTCAACAACCTTGAAGCTTTTGTACCTTTACAGTTGCTTTTTACGTTGTATTGAATAAAATTGTCAACTGAGTCGGCTTTTACTTACAAAACAATATACATATATGGTAGGTTTACAAGTCTACCTTGCTACTACGGTCATCAGTTTGTATAAGAACACTAAGGTAGGTACGAAAATTAGAAAAGTAGTGGGTTTGGCACGACTGGAAGGGTTACAACCGTCACCACTGCACGTGTACACGCACGTCCGGTAGGTGAGGATGTCTCCGGGCTGCTTGACGTAGTTGCAATAGTTGCCTAAATCCAGCGACGAACAGAACCTCTTGGCACCGATTCCTCCTAAAACCCACAAATCGATAAGGTCGAGTAGATAAATTGTGGCGTTGACGTCACGATCGTGGCGCCAAATTCAAACTATGTTAAGCTCGTGCAGCATGCGACCACACACACAGCTACCTGTACTACTTTTCACACCAATTACCGTCCAAACTGGTCGACTTGACGCAGTACTCGGCTTCGAAAACGTGGTCGCAGCTCTGGGGCTCAATACCACCCAGATGGATCATCCCATCTGAACAGTCAATGGTTTGGTGAGCGGCACACTGATAGCATGAGATAGAGGAAGCTAAGGCCACGAGCAGCAATGAAAAAGTGTTAAATAACAATGTTAGTGGGGGTCATGAGACGTTGGGTTAGTCGGTAAGTTCCCAGGAAACCAGCCAATGGTAGTGTGTACCTTCGAATCTGCCTGTGTGTTTAATGCAGTACTTTGCATCGTACACGTTGTCACAGGTCTGTGGCTGAATGTCTATGTCACTGCTGAGCCACTCGTTGCATTGAAATGGTTTTGTGGGATCACTACCTGAGCACTGGTAGCAGTTTAGCGCTACGGCTGAAGTCAAAAATCAGTATTGGCGGACGAGGTTGTGGGGGTGGGTTCGACGGGATTGTGTTTAAACAATTTAATAATAATTCTTTTGAAAAAAAAAACAAACTTCCGTAAAATGAAATAATTCGTGGTTATGCAACACAATATACACGAAATATGTTATTTAATCGTGTTACCAGAAAAGAAAATAAATTTACGAATGTGATAGATAAGATACGTTGAAGACAGGGTTTTTTGTTTTTTGACACATTTCAAGCCAGATTTAGTCGACAAAATTGCGAAATGACGTCACCGATTTTTTCGAATAAGCGCAAATATAAAATGAATTGAAGTAGATTGAGTATGGTTTTTGCTTAATTTTTGGCTTTTTTTAATATATATGTAAATTTCACATGGTAATTTCTTGTAGAGAAATAAAGATTTTGCAATTGAGCCCCGCCCCTCGGTCTGACGACGAATGAAATATTCACCACAATTGAGATTGGGGCGGGTGGGTGGGGCTTATTTTTTACACTTTTTTATGTTAACATATATAGTTTTCTATCAATAACGCGATACTTAAAAACCTGTTTCACATGATTTGGTCTTTTTTTATTTTTTCAATATATAGAGTCCAAAATATTGAAAGTCGTTTAATTGAATGCTTCAAAAAAAATTAAATTCCACTATTAATATCTCAATATATCAAAAACACTATAAAACCAATGTAGTTTCAGCATTTTATCGCCTTTGGTTTTTCCGGAAATGACATCCACTTCTTTTTTCAAATAAAATATGGTATGGTTTTTAATGGGTTCAAGATAAACAATACTTTTTTACAACTATCCGAGCGTAAGCTAAGTAAAAAAATTTTTCTCAACGTCCCAAGAGTACGAAAACAGAGGTTTCCTGTTTCCGTCCGTCTGTCTGTCTGCCGTCTGTCGTCTATGTTGAATTTTATTAGACAAATAATTTTCGAAATAATTTTTGTTCTTTCTAATTACTTCAAAAACACGACAAGGAATCTCCGAAATTCTATTAAACTATTTCAAAAATAAAACAAAAGGGATCACCGAGATTCTTTCAAATGACTTCAAAAACAAAAGGGATTCCTGAGATTCTTTCAAACTACTTCAAAAGCCAAGTATAAGCGATTCCCAAGATTCTTTCAAACAATTTACTTAAAAAAAAACTGGACACAAGGTGTCCCCGAGATTATTTCAAACTACTTCAAAAAAAAAAAAAACGAAAGAGGTCCCCGAGATTATTTCAAAGTATGTACTTCAAAAACCAAATAGAAGCAATTCCCAAGATTACTTCAAACTAATTACTTCAAAAACTAGGGACAAGGGGTCCCCGAGATTCTTTCAAACTGCTTCAAACACAAAACAAAAGGCGTTCCTGAGATTATTTGAAACTACTTCAAAAACCAAGTATAAGCGATTCCCAAAAACTCTTCAAACTATTTACTTCAAAAATTAGGCAGAAGGGGTCCCCGAGATTATTTCAAGCTATGTACTTCAAAAACCAGACGCAAGAAATCCCTGAGATTTTTTAAAATTATTTAAAAAAAAACACAAAAGGGGTCTCCGAGATTCTTTCAAATTACTTCAAAAACCAAGTAGATGGGATTCCCAAGATTCTCTCAAGCTATTTACTTCAAAAAGAAAACAAAAGGGGTCCCTGAGATTCTTTCAAACTACTTCAAAAACTAAGTATAAGCGATTCCCAAGATTCTTTCAAACAATTTACTTAAAAGGATCTGCAAGGATTTTGATAACATCCAGACGTTGAAACATTTATATTATTCCCTTGTTAGGACGAAGCTTGAATATTGCTCTCTGGCCTGGTTTCCGTACTACAGATATCAATGCACTTCCCTGGAAAACATCCAGAGGAAATTCTTGAAGTATCTTTATTTCAAGGAATTGAAAGAGTGGCCAGTGAGGAATTGTGCTCAAAATTTTTTGTTAGACAAATTTGCTGTGAGATCGCTAAGTTGTCGTAGGATTAATAGTGCTATTGTGTTTTTGTATAAATTGATACATGGTAAGTTAGACTGTTGCGAATTGCTAAGCAAGCTGAAATTTTATGTTCCCCGGTTGAACAGTAGACATAGGGTCACTTTGTACTGTCACACTCCACGAACTAATATAGGTAGAAAAGTCCTGTTTATATGATCACATATTTACTAAGTAAATTGGAATTGAGTAGAGATATTGATATTTTCAAATGCAGTTTAAGAACTTTAAATCAATCAGTGGAGGATACATGTAATTCTATTATTTAATTCTTAAGTTAAGTTGAGGGGTTTTGATTAATTTTTATATTTTCATATATAAAATTGTCCTATTAATGGAACATTGTATTCTGTTGGACAATAAATTTTATCTTATCTTATCTTATCTTAAAAAAACTGGACACAAGGTGTCCCCGAGATTATTTCAAATTACTTAAAAAAAAAAACGAAAGGGGTCCCGAGATTATTTCAAAGTATGTACTTCAAAAACCAAATAGAAGCAATTCCCAAGATTATTTCAAACTAATTACTTCAAAAACTAGGGACAGGGGGTCCCCGAGATTTTTTCAAACTACTTCAAACACAAAACAAAAGGAGTCCCTGAGATTCTTTGAAACTACTTCAAAAACCAAATATAAGCGATTCCCAAAAATTCCTCACACTATTTACTTCAGAAACTAGGCAGAAGGGGTCCCCGAAATTATTTCAAGCTATGTACTTCAAAAACCAGACGCAAGAAATCCCCGAGATTTTTTAAAATTATTTAAAAAAAACACACAAAAGAGGTCTCCGAGATTCTTTCAAATTACTTCAAAAACCAAGTAGAAGGGATTCCCAAGATTCTCTCAAGCTATTTACTTCAAAAAGAAAACAAAAGGGGTCCCTGAGATTCTTTCAAACTACTTCAAAAACTAAGTATAAGCGATTCCCAAGATTCTTTCAAACAATTTACTTAAAAAAACTGGACACAAGGTGTCCCCGAGATTATTTCAAATTACTTCAAAAAAAAAACGAAAGGGGTCCCGAGATTATTTCAAAGTATGTACTTCAAAAACCAAATAGAAGCAATTCCCAAGATTATTTCAAACTAATTACTTCAAAAACTAGGGACAGGGGGTCCCCGAGATTCTTTCAAACTACTTCAAACACAAAACAAAAGGCGTCCCTGAGATTCTTTGAAACTACTTCAAAAACCAAGTATAAGCTATTCCCAAAAATTCTTCAAACTATTTACTTCAAAAACTAGGCAGAAGGGGTCCCTGAGATTATTTCAAGCTATGTACTTCAAAAACCAGACGCAAGAGGTCCCCGAGATTCTTTCAAACTACTTCAAAAACCAAGTATAAACGATTCCCAAGATTCTTTCAAACTATTTACTTCAAAAATTAGGCAAAAGGGGTTCCCGAGATTTTTTCAAACTGCTTCAAAACCAAAACAAAAGGGATCCTCGAGATTCTTGCAAACTACTTTAAAAACAAAACAAAAGGGGTCCTCGAGATTCTTTCAAACTACTTCAGAAACAAAACTAAAGGGGTCCCCGAGATTATTTCAAACTATGTACTTCAAAAAACAGACGCAAGAGATCCCCGAAATTTTTTCAAACTATTTTAAAAACCAAGTAGAAGGGATTCTCAAGATTCTTTCAAACTACTACAAAAACCAAGTATATGCGATTCCCAAAATTTTTTCAAACTATTTACTTCAAAAACTAGGCAGAAGGTATCCCCGAGGTTATTTCAAACTACTTCAAAAACCAAAAAAGGGGTTCCTGAGACTCTTTCAAACTACTTCAAAAACCAAACAAAAGGAGCCCTCAAGATTCTTTCAAACCAGTTCAAAAACCAGATACAAGCGAATCCCAAGATTTGTTTAAACTATTTACTTCAAAAACACACCTAAGGAAGTCTCCGAGATGATTTCTAGCAATGTACTTCAAAACCCAGACGCAAGAGGTCCCACGAGACTCTTTCAAACCACTTCAAAAACAAAACAAAAGATGTTCCCGAGATTCTTTCAAACTATATACTTTAAAAACAAAACAAAAGGGGTCCTCTAGATTCTTTCAAACCGCTTCAAAAACAAAATTAAAGGGATCCCTAAGATTATTTCAAACTATGTACTTCAAAAACCAGACGCAAGAGATCCCTGAGATTTTTTCAAAGTATTTTAAAAACAAAACAAAAGGAGTCTCCAAGTTTCTTTCAAATTACTTCAAAAACCAAGTAGAAGGGATTCCCAACATTCTTTCAAGCTAATTACTTCAAGAAGAAAAAAGGGGACCCTGCGATTCTTTTAAACTACTTCAAAAATCAAGTATAAGCGATTCCCAAAATTCTTTCAAACTATTTACTTCAAAAACTAGGCAGAAGGGGTCCCCGAGATTATTTCAAGCTATGTACTTCTAAACCAGACGCAAGAGGCCCCCGAGATTCTTTCAAACTACTGTAAAAACTACGTAGAAGCGATTCCCAAGATTCTTTCAAACAATTTACTTAAAAAAACTAGGCACTAGGTGTCTCCGAGATTATTTCAAACTACTTCAAAAACCAAAAAAGGGGTTCCTGAGACTCTTTCAAACTACTTCAAAAACCAGGTACAAGCGAATCCCAAGATTTGTTCAAACTATTTACTTCAAAAACAAACCTAAGGGGGTTTCCGAGATGATTTCTAGCAATGTACTTCAAAACCCAGACGCAGAGGTCCCCGAAACTCTTTCAAACCACTTCAAAAACAGAACAAATCGTGTCCCCGAGATTCTTTCAAACTACTTAAAAAACCAAGTAGAAGCGATTCCCAAGATTCTTTCAAACAAGTTACTTAAAAAAACTGGGCACAAGGTCCCCGAGATTATTTCAAACTACTTCAAAAAAAAAAACGAAAGGGGTCCCCGAGATTATTTCAAAGTATGGTCTTCAACAATCAAACAGAAGCAATTCTCAAGATTATTTCAAACTAATTACTTCAAAAAGGCACCCTTGGGGTCCCCGAGAGTCTTTCAAACTAC